CAGCGATGGGGGTGGTAACCCAGCATACTTACCCCCCCTCTCTGCGGATGACCAGCGGCCACGTGTGTTGGCGTGGCCGCAGCCATCTTGCCCGCCACATGGACTGGACACCCATCCTTCTCTTCCGACCCCAGTGCTGCCCCGCCCCACCCACAGACACGAGGGGGGAAGTAGCCCCGCCCCCTCACAGCCTCCACCACCCACCCCCACCCCCCCACAGGGAACCAGGTTTGCTGGGACCACAGGGGGCGAGGCATGGGGGGATAAGGAGGAGGGACCCGAGAGAGTTTCATCGGGAGGGAGTGAGGAGGCAAACCAGGGAAAATCAGATAACAACATGTGGAAACAATGTAGGGACAAGGCAATTCGAGCGAGTAGCCTAAAGAATATTCAGGCGTGCTCAAACGGATTCAACCAAAGCCAGTCCTCTCAATTCAAGCCCCTGTATGGGGCTACAGAGAAGCTGAGGCATTCGGTAAGAGATAGTGGCATGTCCTTGATAAATACTCGAGAGTATTTAGAAACATTGAGTTCCATCTATTTTTTCACCCCACATGACTGGAAAGAGCTAATGAAATCAGTTCTTAATGACACACAATATACATTCTGGTTATCTGACTTTCAGGAGAATTGTGCCAAACATACTGCTGCCACCCAAGCAGGCATAACAACAAACCAATTAACCGGAAAGGGAAGATACAACACAGCAGGTGCCCAATCAGATTGCCCCCGAGAGGCATACAAAGTAATAGCCAAACAGGCACTGAAAGCCATGAGAAAGCTTCTCACTACAGACCAAAACAGCAACCTGCCCAGCACAAAAATGTTACAAAGTTGTGCCGAACCTAATCCACAATACTTAAATCAGCTGCAGTCTGCTTTAAACAAGCAAGTTGAATACAATGAAGCCAGAGAGATGCTGTATAAGCAATTGGCTTTTAAAAGGGCGAACACAAGCTATGAAGGACTTTTGCAGGACCTTCCTGGAAGGGAAGACCACGGCATTGCTGAGCTAGTTCAACCCTACCAAAGATTTGGCTCTGAGGAGCACCAGTCTGCCTCCCTAGCTGTGGCCCTAAATGCCCAGCTAGGAGTACAAGAAGAGGCCAGACATAGGGCAAGTTGTGTCAGATGTGGTAACACTGACCACTTTCAAAGGGATTGCCCCTGGAGACCCTTAGCAGCAACATCCCACAAATACCCTAACAGCAGGGATTGGGCTGAGTTGTACCAAGGGTGCTGTGGGCAAGGCAGACGCCTTGCCCCAAGCATCGCACTGCTTGTTGCCTTGCTGCTTGCCATCCTCTGTGCCACTAGCTTCCATATGCAAGAGAGAAAGCAGCTTGAAGCAAGCCACAATGTGCCAGCAAACAGCCCAGACAATACCCCTATATTCTGTACCCCCAAGAAAGGTGGCAGGTGGAGAATGCTGCAACAGTCAAAAGCAGTAAGTGCAGTCATAAAGCTTACAGGAGCATCGCAGAACAGACTGCCTTCACCCAATATGCTCCCAGCAAATTGGCCACTAGTGGTAACTGATTCAAAGAACTGTTTCTTTACCACCTTTCTACATCCTGAGGATGTGCCAAGGCTTGCCTTTCCCATCATGGCCTTGAACAGTGCACGGTCCATGCAAAGCTATTGCTGGGTTGTCCTTCCTCAGGGGATGCAAAATAGCCTGACGAGGTATCAAACAACCACGATATATCATTATACAGATGACATACCAATAAGCACGGCCACAGGAAATGAACTACCATTTACTTTTACTGCTCTAATCAAAACTGTCCAAGATGCAGGATTGCAGTTTGTAGCAGAGAAGATCCAGCAATCACAACCCTGGACTTACCTTGGACAGGAATTCATGCAGCAAAAAAGTTCTCCACAGCTGCTGCAGCTCGAGGTAAAAAACACTTTATATTTACGCGAATTGCAGGAGCCTCAGGGGGCTGTCAATTGGTTAAGGCCTATTTTAGGCATAGCCTCAGAGGAGCTACACCCTCTGCTTGAGCTGCTAAAGGGAAACTCCAGCCTAACGTCTAACAGGTCACTGATACCAGAGGCCAAACAGGTGTTAGACATTCGTACCAAGGCAATAGAGGGAGGGCAAGGCAGAAGGAGAAATCCTGAACTGCAAATCTGCCTGGCCTTCATTCCCAGCAGGTACCAACCATTAGCAGTCTTGTTACAGTGGGATCAGACTGAGAAAGACCCACTGCAAATTCTTGAGTGGCTAATTTTGCTCCACATACCATCTAATACTGTGTGGACTAATAATGAGATGTATGCAAGGCTTGTCATTAAAGGCAGAGGACGACTGCAGGAGCTAGGAGGAGAGGATTCTGCCATCATCTACATGCCAGCTATGAAGGACAGTTTGGATAGGTTGCCAGCTGAGGACGCCGGATTCCAAGCTGCCTTGACAGGCTTTCACGGTGACATTTTCATACATCTCTCAAAACGCAGGTTGTGGGCAGAAATCAGTAGTCTACCTTTAAAAACCACAACCAGATGCAAACACAAACCAGTGAAAGGCCTCAGGGCCTTCACACATGCATCTGGGAAAAGCATAAAAGGCTGCAATGACTTGGGTAAAACCCTGCCACATAACAAGGGAAAGAGAGGCACAGACCACGAACCAAAGCTCTGTGCAGGTTCTGAAACTGACTGCCATCCATATTGCCTTGGGGAAGTTTACTGAACAATCTTTTAATGTTGTAACTGATTTCTGTTATACTGCAAGTTAATATCCTGTCTCGAGAGTTCGTTTCTTTGAGATATCGTTAGCCTTTACCTGTTAATTGAAATGCGTTCTGTTTGGTTTCTCGTCAATTATAGAAGTTTTTGATTTCTATGTAATGCACACAAGGTCACACACTGACATGCCAGGGCCAATAACTGACAAGAACTGAAAAACTGACAAAACAGCAATGTTTAACATCATACCTAAAGTCTTGGAGCAAGAGAAATTGTCTCATTAATTTTTCCATCAGAACGCGAGTTCTCTGAACAGACAATTTCAAATAACATTCAATCAGCTCGAGATATCATTGTCATGCCCAGGCTGTCAAAAAATCACACCCATGCCATCTCAGGACGCGTTAACCCCAGAGGGTTAATGGCAAATGAGATTGGACAAACAGATATCACACATACCTCCGAATTTGACATATTAAAATATGTACATGTAAAAAAATACATACCCACATCACATAATCTCCACAACACCCACTAAAGAAAAAGCCGAGAGTGTAAAACACACTGGCTTAGTTGCTTAGCAACTCTTGGTACCCCAAAACAAACCACAACACTGACAGTAAAACAGCTTCCTTTCCTATCTAATAGGAAAATTCTCACGTCACAAGTATTCCACACTAACTCATTAGACAGGCAGTTGTGGAAAGGGCACACCACACACTGAAACAAACGTTAGCTAAACAGAAAAAAAAAGGGGGGAATCTGTATAGCCCGCAAGAGCGTCTGTGGAAAGCCATGTATGTTATCAATTTTTAAAATTGTGACAGTGCTGGAAACATGTAAGTATGGAAAGCAACACAAACCCCAGGCTTGTGTGCCTCTCCCAAACCACCGGTCATGGTAGGAGATTTGATATTTGGGCAGTGGACGGAACCACTACATCTCGTGAATTGGGAGAGAGGCTACGCCTGTGTGACTACAGGAAAAGAGTTAAAATGAACCCCTTCCAGGTGTGTTAAACCCTACCTACGCACAAAATCACATCAGCAAGAACCAGAGTAACGTGGAAGTTACAAGAAAGTTATGTTTATGTTCCAGGTTTACTTTAAGGACGACCAGTGTGGCAAAAAGCAGTCAATAAAAAATTCATGAGTGTGTGTATGATGTGTGGAACGACGGCCGTTGGTGAATGAAGCATGAATGGATATGAGTTGTATGACCGGACAAATATTAAAACACAAAACACCTCAGAAATAACACTACCTCTGCCACAGGGTCACTTTAAGAGAATTTAGTTTTGCTAAGCTTATCCTGCTTCTTAATAAAGTTGAACTCCCCAGTTATTTAAAACCCTCAGATCAATAAAGGTTATAAGTATGCACGGTTGGGCCAAGGCCCCTAAGTTAATAAGGTTATTTCTCCAAGTTGCCCTACCCTTTAGGAATATAAGAAAGTTTTAAAAGGTTCACAATAGAAGTGTAAGAGGCCAAAACAAGCGATGTGCTGGGTCATTGCAAGCTTTGGTAGTTTACAATGTACTGTTCTGATTGTTTGCACTGTTGTTTTTGCACTGTTTTCGTGACCTTCTTATATAGTTGAGAAGGGGGTGATGTAGGAGGCGTGTCTGAAATACAGGGGGACGTACTGGGGCAATGATGCCCAAAAGAGCATGCGCCGAGATTATCAACCCTATTGGATAAGAAAGTCACATGGTATTAAGGGATAAAAGGGGGCGCAAGATTCAAATAAATCTCTTTGACTCCACCACCTCCGAAGAGCGTAATGCATTTATTTATTATATAAAGGCCAGCGGCCACGTGTCGCTACAGTACGGGATGGGATCTCTGAAGAAAACAGAGTTAGTATTCCTTGGATAATACTGCTTGATTGTCAAAAATGTTTGACAGAATACCCCCACAAAAAAGAAAGCAATGCAGGAGAAAAATTTTGGTCTGGACTGCAAAGTTTTAATATCTTCATGTGTACAGAAAGCTGTTGAACAGCTTTTTTAAATGTAAGTTTAAAAAAAAAAGGGAAGTTTTCTAACACATTTGATGATGCCTTTTGTAATTTAGTCCTAGACAAAACATGGATACATAAAAAAAAGGTAGGTGAAACTGTTGGAATACTACTGAGAGCCCTTGGGATGAAAAAAACTTTGAATAGAAGAAATTAGGTGAGGGTAATTTACTTGACAATCATAAAAAGGATAATTTCCTGAAACAAATATAAGTTATTCTATCAACACCATTTTAAAATTTTTTTGAAGTTCTTTTCCATATTAATATTATCTCGTTTTACAGAATTCTGAATGTCAGTTGAATGAAGAAATTATGGAGCACTCTAGGAGGGTGTTTCCCTCTGTGATAAAATACATCGTAGATATGCTTATCTGGGAAGAAGAAAAGGAACTGCCTCTGGAGCTCACAGTTAGGTAATGACCTATTTCCAACTTTCTCTTCAAGGCATTAGAAACTTTGATTATAATTTTGCCTGGGATATTCTCAGCCTTGTGCTGACTTATTAGTGCTGAAATCCCTGTAAATAGCACTGTAGTATTTTTGGCCTAGAGTTATATGGAGAAAACCTTTTGATGCTTCATGGGAAAAGTAGTGTATAACTGTGCTCCATCAATCACCGAAGGGAACTGCTCCTGAGCCAACCTGATCTGTAGTACAGTGGCAGGTCTTGGTGTACAGGGGAGGAAATGCCAGGGCAGTGGAGATACCTGCCAGGAGCCAGTAGGAGACGTTTATGAGGCCTTTCCTAAGGGACAAGAGAGCAGAACAGAGCTGAGAATATCAAATAACTTTAAAAAACTTCTTTTTTGTACTTGAAAAATGAGTTTTGTGGCTTTTTCTGGTATAGATGGCGGTGGGGGGGCATGTCATTGTCATGAAGAACATGCTTGATTTTTCTTCTAAATTTTTTTTCATATTTGATATTCCTCTCAAGCTATCAAGTAAGCTGTTGCTTGTATTTGATAGGACACTATTTACAATTTTATTTTTATTTGTATGATGATACGTTACCTTTTTCCCAGTAGAGAGAAAGTAGACAGCTACTACTGTGTCCTTTTCAATGATGAACACCATTCTTATGACCATGTCATCTACAGCCTGCAAAGGGCACTTGGCTGTGAACTTGGTGAAGCCCAGTTGCATACTACTGCCATAGATAAAGAGGTTAGTGCCTTGGGATGTGGGAGAAAGTCACCTTTTAATCATTAAGAATTGTCACTATAGTCACTTGTTTATAGAACCTTTGCTTCTTGGTTGCTGGAGCTTGAGGAGAGAAAGGCACATTGCAGAGTAACTACTAGTCAGTGCTTGCTTTAAGAAAGTTTTAATTTTTTTAAACCATATTAATTTTTTTTTTCAGGACAAAAAGCTAGTTTCTTGAGAAAGGGAAGAGCTGATTTATCTGAAGTTACTCCTTTCACATTTAGCATATTTTCTTAATTCTTTTTTGTTTCTCAGCTGCGATTGTTTTATTTTAGTGGTATTTCTCTGAAAAATATACAAGTCAGAAATACACATATTCAGGTACATTTAATCAGAAATGTACCTTACCTTTTGCAAAAGTTACTGCTTGTTCTGGCTCAGACTTAATTTGAACTTTTAACATTTTCAAAAGAGGGAAATAAAACCAGGAAGAATCCATGAAGCGATGTGGGGGAACCTGACAATTTTACTACTTCATTTTTTGAATTAGTATCCCATGTAAAGACTATAGTAATGTGAACTTTTTTTCCAGTGGGGTGGGAAAAAAAAGCGTGATCAGTGTTCAAATTATCTGAATAGTAACCATATTTTTTTACCTCATGGAAGTATAAAAAAAAGTTTGACCATGGAGAAACTTCATCTAAAGCTGTATATATATTTGTTGTATATTTACATATAAAACATCTTACTAATATCAGAATCTTTTTTTAATCTGTAAAAACTGTTTTCTGTTTGTTTCTCTTTGTCAAGTAATGGAAATTTAGTTGTATTTCGTTAGCAGGGTCAGTCTTACGTAATTACAAGTCTTGTTCTGTAGTTGCAGGTTTTGTGAAAAAATGTATATACGTGCATGTTTACAGAATAACTTTCAAAGGTTTCCCTTATGAAGAGTCCTTTTGATTTAAGTTTAAGTTTTGGATCAAGAATTTATCAGGCTGTTCATTTTATGAAGTGCCTGCTACAGTACAGGACTAAGCTATAGCATTTTAATTTTAACAGTTCCACAACACAGAGTTACTTCCTCTCTTCTGGTGTGAAGTTCTGCTATGTGGAGAAATTGCTAAGGAAGCACATACTTCTTGTTTTCTTTGAGTGGAATTTGAGGTCTAAGCTGGACCTGTTCTTGGCTTTATTGAAAGAGCTATTAAACCCAGATTTACAATATACCCTGGTATTTCATATTCAGAGGTGAGAAATTGTAGGAAAGATTGTAGAAAAGCAATTCAGGATGAGTGTACTGTGTGCTAGGAAGAAAGTTGATATAGTTTGTATTTAAAGTAAATATGTAGAAATTCCTTATCTAATAATATGAATACATCTAGACTTTACTTTGTTGTTCTGTTCTTAATTTAAATAGCTTTTTTCTGTAGACAATTATGTTAATTTTTATATGCTTCTAGATATTTAATAGCACCACGAGTGATGTTGGTCTCTGTTTTTCTGTTATGTATAAAAAACATAATAGAAGGGGTCAGACTTGTCACATTTTGGATTTGCTTTATATTGGTCTCAATATTTTTTTAAACAGGGTCGTAGAGCTGTTAAGGCAGGACATTATGCCTCTTGTCAGGAAGCAAAAGAAGAAATTAAGGTAACTTCCTAAAATAGTTTTCTCATTAAAAAAAATCAGCCTCATCAGTATTAATAGCGAAAACTTACTTGTCTGCTTTAAAGTCTTTAACTTAGTATTCCCATGGTTTTATAATTTGCCTCTGAACTTTTTAAAATTTAATTTACCCTGCCACATTTGGGATGGATAGATAAATAGATACATATCTTCAGAATCTTCAGAAATAAAATCTGATAGATATCTTCAGAAATAAAACATCAAACTGTTTTCCTTTTTTGTTTGGGAGAGATACTGGGTGGTGAAGATAAATAATGAAATGAATGTTATCTTGATTTTACAAGTACTAATATTTACCTGACTCCTAGAGGCATTCTGAAAATGTTTCTCAACGACCACTTCACGTGGAGGTTCTGCACGCTGATGTTATGGCACACCAGAAGTTTGCTTTGCGCCTTGGTTCTTGGCTGAACAAACTCATGAGCTATTCAAGTAAGTGTAACTAATTTTTGTTACAATAATGCCATGGCAGTATTTGAATGACTAATTCTCTCAGAAATATCTTTAGCAATGTTGTATATGATATTATCTTAATTAAAATACTTTCATGTTCCTCCTAAGTAGTAAATAAATAATACAGTAGCGTTTCAGGATCACACACCCTGTTATTTAAAAGCCGCTATCCCTGGTGCTGGTGGAAAGCTGCAGAACATCTCCATCAGTGAAAACATGTATCCTCTGCTTGAGTTAATTCCTGCTTCAGATTTGATAGCTGTGATTAATTAGATAATGTCAGTACAATAAGCAAAGTAAAGCCTTAATTGAAAACATTATCTAGTAGTGAAAAGTCTATTTTAAGCTTTCAAACATTGTCCTGGTGTTTGATGATGCTCATGGTTTTAAAGAAGATTTCTAAATCAATGTACTTTTGATTTCTGTTACTGTTTTTTCATACCTGTGTTTTACCACACTAAAGCTGTTATAAAATTTCTCGTCACAGTACAAATATGCATAGATTAAGCTCTACTCACTGCTTATCCTCCTTCTAAATCTGGCTTTAGCCTCTTCTGTAAGGATAATAGAGTGAATTTCTTATCTTTTTCTTGTCTGAACACTTGACAATCTTTCCCTTGAAATACAAAAATCAGAATTGTACTTTTTTGTAATTCTTTACGGTAGCTTACAAATTTTAGCTTTCTGTTCTTTTCAAATTTGCATTTTTTTTCACCGATGGTATTTTCTTACTGGTCTGAGTTCCTCAGTCCTTTTAATCAGTACAAGTTTTTGACTATGTGGTTTGTTTCAAAGTTTCTAGTGAAAGTTTGATTTTTACCCACAGCTTTCTTCCTGAATAGTTTTTTATATTTTCAATTTCATGATGTTATCTAAAATGGCAAGTGACAGCTCTGTGTGATTATAGGCAAGTTGGTGTCCAGTGCTCCAGCAAATTCCCGAAACTTTAGGGTTTTAAGCATTACCTTTTTAGCTTATGAGTTAAACTAAAACTTAAAAAGAGTATCCCATGTTGAGTGTAGCATTTTGAGTTAGGAAATTGTTGTAGGTCAATGGACACTTCAGTATGTGTAAAGAGAGTTTTTAGGTACAAAGACTGAAGTCAAGCATTCCTGTCCTTGTTGTTCTGGATTATATCCATAGAGGCTTTAAGAGCCTGAGGTTCTGTACTCAACTGGAATGTTTTTGTGGTCTGGTAGTTCCTGTTCTTTTCCCGTTTTTGCTGGAAAACAGGATAGAATATGGATGTGGTAGAATATGGATCAAGAAACATTTTATAATGTTTATTTCCAGGTTGTCAGGAACTTGATTCATGACACTTTTCAAATTAGTAATATAAGGCTTCATTTCTGAAGTTAATAACGCACAGGTGACTGGAAATGTTGATCCCCAAAACTGCTTCAGCAAGTACTGTATTTAGTGATAGGTGCAAGAAAATGTAAAATAATTTCTGAATTTCTACAAAGGACTGACTTTCAAGGCCCAAGGCAGGGGCCAGCCTAGACTTGCCTAGCCTGTGCATTTCTGTGCAGACATAGTGAATTCTTCTTATGGATCTGCTTTGCAAAGCTATCTAAATGATTTTAATTTTAAAATAACTCTTATACATCACAGGATTTATTAAATAATTCAGATAAGAATATTTGGAAGAAATTAGTAAAGGAAAGGGTATGTGGGAGTATATTCATTGAGAAAAAACATTGTTAAAAATAATTCATACTGAAGTGCCTTCTTTTTTTCTTCTTTTAAAGAACAGAATTCTGTAGTTCTCATTTTCTTGGGCCATATAATTTAATTATCAAGCCATTCTTGTACAAATGAATAGTTTTCTCCCTATAGGTGACTTTCGTCAGATCTTTTGTCAAATATGTCTCAAAGAAGAAGCTGGATCTGAAAAGCCGTGCTTTATAAGCAAGTTGATGCTATGGGATGCAAAACTTCATAAAGGTTTGTATATCCACGTTGCTCTAAACTGAAGAGGCAAATTAATTTTTCATGTGTGTGTAGCAAATGGATAAAAGTAAGTGCTAAGCAGGTAGAATTACATTTCTTTATAGTTTTTATATTATGGTTTTTATACAGCCTTTATTTTTACAGCTGAGCTAATTGATATTTGGGGTATATATTTGCCCCCTCAATTTTTCCTGCTTTATATATTTTGAAAAATCTTTTCACAAGATGTAGCCTTTGAGTAACTTGGTGCTTACTCAGTGTTTTAAGTGTGTACTGATAAATGTCAAAACCAGAATAAAATAACTTTCCTCATATACTTTGTAACCATTTCAAGGCTTATAATGATTTTTAATTATAGTTTAGTAATTGGTTCCTTTTTTACACAAAAGGCTGCATTTTAGTATGACAAAGTGACGAGCACTATATTGGCTTTTTGCAGGGGCAAGGAAGGTTCTCCATGAGCTTATCTTCAGTAGTTTTTTCATGGAAATGGAATACAAAAAACTTTTTGCTGTGGAATTTGTGAAGGTAAATGGTTATTTAGTTTTTATACTATGAATTTGTACTAGCTTTGTAAAATTTCCCCCCAAACTGAAAATTGTTTCAGTATAAATAAGGAATTTTCAACAAGCAGAGCTTTAATAACTAGCTCAGCCTTTATAGAATGCAATTAATTAATTCCCATGTCACTGGTTTGTTTCTTAGAATCATGTAGGTATATATACTTGAATGCTGTTAGTATTCCATGTATTTTTTGAAATGGCAGGTGAACTGCAACTGAAACTGGCCTTTCTTTTTGAAAATTAGATACAATAGTTTATAAATATACAAAATGTAAGACAAAGTGTTTTTTCTTTTAAGGTGAGACCTTTTAATTCTGATAAAGACAATTGACATGTTATGGTTTTCTCTGGACTGAAACAAAGCAAACAAAGACTTGCGTTACTCATTGTACATGTCTTTTATAGACAGCTGTTGAATAACTATCCATGCAGCTCACTGCAGGAGGAAGATTTGTTTTATAATAAGTTAATGGCTACATGGATTTTTTTTCAGATATTGAATATTTTTTCTTGGGGAATATTGTTTGTAGAAGAAAAAAAATTTTGGTTCCAGTCTGACAAATCAGTTAAATTTGTGCTTATCTTCAGTATTAAGACAGTGGGGCCTATACTGAATTGCTTTGGTGGATTGAGGACATTGTGCTGTTTCTGTAGTCCGAACTGCTTCTATTAGGTAGGAAGAAGGACACTGAGATGTAATTCTTGTAAATAAAAAAGTAAGCATTTTTATTAACATTCGTTTAATGTTCCCGATATTATCTTTTTCTAGTATTACAAGGCATTGCAAAAGGAATACATTAGTGATGATCACGACAGAGTTCTCTCCGTGACAGCACTCTCAGTTCAGATGTTCACCGTACCCACTCTGGTATGTACAGCCTGTCTCTGCAAGAAATGCAAAACAAGTTTGAGAATTGCTAGCAATACCACCTTTGCAGACTGTTGTGCTTGGCAGAGAGTCTTTATGCATTGCTGAGTTTGAATATGAATGATTTTGAGATTTGTTACAGGCCAGTATGAAAGCAGGAGCTTGAGTTGATGTGAAAATTCCTTACAGAACGTAGAAGGAATGCAAATAAGTATAAGTTTTAGGCACATCATAGTCTGCATTAACTCTCTGTATTTATTTACTATTCACATTTACCTTCTTATGTAACCTTAAAAACGGGGCAAGGGGATAGAAAATGGTTAAATGTCTTTTTGTGGGGGTGAAATATGTTAAATCCTCTGTGTATGTGGAAATATACCTGTAGGTTTTAAAGGTTATGTGTTTCTTGCCTGAAATACTAATGTAAAAGTTCTTTCCTTCATGATCTTTCAAGAAAAAAAATAACATATCCATTATATATAGTTGCTGTCAGAGTTGAACAAACATACGAAGTTGATAGCAGCTATGTTCCTACATAATAAATACTGAGGTTTTTTTATCTTGGACTCTTAGCAAATGCTTAAAATAATTTCTAATCAGAAAGACTGAATTCAAAGGAAAAAGTATTTTGCCAATTCTCCTCAACAAAACAGTAGGAAGAAAAAATTTTCGTTTTCTTCTTGCAGGCCCGACATCTTATTGAAGAGCAAAATGTAATCACCACCATTACAGAGACACTCCTAGAAGTGCTTCCAGAGTACCTAGACAAAAATGACAAGTTCAACTTCCAAGGCTACAGTCAGGACAAACTGAATCGGGTATATGCAGTAATATATGACCTCAGGTAGGTGTAAAGCTGAGAAGCTAAAGCAATTCTAAGAAAATTGGTAGGAGGACGAGGTGTTTCAATTCAGAAACTGATGATGAAACTGCTTTAAAACCAAACCCAAAACCAAATCCCTCAAAAACACACGTGAAATTTTAATGAGTTTTTTTTCAGTGAAAACTTAAAATAACAAAGTTTTATTCTATAAAGACAATTTTTTGATTTTCACTGGTACAATTATATATAACACATTAATAAATAAAATATATCGAAGTATGGGAAATTTGGCTCCTATTCACTGTCATTCTGAGAAAGCTGTATAATCCTTATTTCCATAGGATTTTCTACTCATATAGGTACCAAATTAGTCTAATAAATTGAGTAATGTAAAAGCAAGCCACCCCAAATACCTTGGAATTTAAAAAATCTGTTAATTTCAAATTATGGAGTCACACCAAACTACTAGCAACTCTAGTATTTGATGAAGGTTTTCTGGGTAGTTTGAGGTGGGGAGGGTGATGTAAATGTGACAATGAGGTTGATTGTATTAAACCAAAAAACCACTTGAAATATAAGCATACGCAGAAGAGAAGTCTGGGCAAAGGATGATAATGTTTTCTTTGGGGACAGGTATGTCTTAGTCAGCAAGCCTACATTATGGACAGACCGCCTGAGGGAGCGTTTTTTGGAAGGATTTGTTTCTTTCCTAAGGATTCTAACTTGCATGCAGGTACAATGCATTTAAATAATTTCTTTCTAATATTCTATTATAGAGGTATTACAGCTCTTCTGTTTGTTCCTCTTTTTGTCCATAAGAATATTGTGGATATAAACATGCAATTATGGTGGCAAATTCTTCAGTCCCTGTCTTCTGTGGGTGAAAAAGTCATGTTTACTTTACAGAAATAGTACCAGTTTTAGCTACATGTATCCAAACAACCTGGATTTTACCATTTGCTTGTGGGATTTTGTGTTGTTTTAGGCCTGTGATCACTGATTTAGCTTGAGTATTTTGTGAAATCTCCATTTCAGGGAATGGAAGAGATAAAAAGACAGATTGGTCAGCACATTGAGGTGGACCCTGACTGGGAAGCAGCTATTGCTATACAGATGCAGCTCAAGAACATTCTTTTGATGTTCCAGGAGTGGTGTGCCTGTGATGTAAGTATATCAGTGTCCTGGGATTCTTGCAAGCGTGCCTTCTGTGAATATTCCTCAGGGCTTTTTAAATAGCAGCTTTTTTAAAAAACTCACTATTGTTCAACATAATTTCAACAAAAAAATGACTCTGAGAGAATTAATCTACGTTGTGACAAAGAGAGAAGGGATGGACTGCATGATTTTGAAATATAACGTATGTATTTACTTTAAATTCTAGGAAGAGCTGTTGCTCAGGGCCTACAGAGAATGCCATAAAGCTGTGATGAGGTGCAGCACAAATGGTCGCTCTCGGGAAAAGACAGTGTTTCACTTATGTGGCCATACCCTGGAGAGCAGACCTTACAGAGTGTCTGCAGATCCTGTCAGCATACATTTGCCACTGTCTAGGACTCTTGCTGGTAGGTGGTGTATTTTGATTGCTGTTTAAATTGTGTTTATCATCCATCTGTATTTCTTTACTCCAAAAGGCATTTGGATTCAGTGTTTCACAGATAAGTTGCTCTCTGACTTTCTGACATTCTTGTGATAAGGCAAATGTGTTCTCCATGTGTCCCACTATGGGAAAGTTTTTCTCAAAAAAACATTTGCTGTGGAGGCCAGAAGATTTTTTTTTAAACAGGAGAGAGAGAAAGAAGACAAGAAGGAAAATGTTCCATTTTTAATGAGATCATCAGTTTTCTCTGGACTATTTGAATTTATGTGGTTCTGTTTCTATTTCTACTTGCTTTGTCTAAATGAATGTTCATTATTACTGTATCTCAAATTTATTTTCCAGCCATGTATATCTTAGGACTGTTAAAATGCTCCTCCTAAAAGACATATGTTTGCACCATGACAGGACAGATTTCCAGTCAGAATACAAAGGACCACAGCAGTGGGTGATCACCGCTTTCTGTAGAAAACAAATGAAATCATATGCTATTAAGCTGTAGATTCTCTATCACATCATTTGATATCAAGATACCATCTGTTAAGCCTTGTAGACTTGAAATTCATTCACTACTGACATGTGATTTAAATGTGAAATAAAAATTTTGCTAATACTATTTAGCACCTCAGTTTAAATGGTGTTAATTAATTCACTTAATGAGTAGACTGGTGAGAACTGTTGTGATAATGTAGATCTTCTATCTTAAAAAAAGAAGTAAACTGTGAAGTCTAAATAAACTGACGTTTTTCTGTAATTCTCTGAGATGTAGATTATTTAGCTAACTTTTAGAAAGAGTTGGAGGAGAACCTTCACTGATTTTATTTTCTAATTTTTCTTCCTGTTGATTTTTGTAGGTCTTCATGTGCGATTAAGCAAGACAGGAACCATCTCAAGATTGCACGAGTTTGTTTCTCCTGTAAGATTTCCCCCCCCCCCAGATGCTTCTTGTGATTTATGCTCTGGGAAGAAAAGGCTTAAAATTATGTCCTGTAACCTTTATGGCTCACACACAAGTTATTTTGCAGCTGTCAATATGTCTTTGTTCACTAGAACTTACCCTTCTGAAATAATGAACAGACTTACTGTTAGTTGATTTTTTTCTTTTTTCTATTTTTTTTGTTTTTAAATTCCAGGAAGAATTTCAAGTGGAGCTGCTAGTAGAATATCCTTTGCGATGTCTTGTCTTGGTGGCTCAGGTTGCTGCAGAGATGTGGAGAAGGAATGGACTCTCTCTGATAAGCCAGGTACTCCCTTACCATTTTCAGTGGCAAGTTGGTCCTAAGGTGTATGCAAGGGTTTCTCAGTCATGCTCCCAAGGGTGGTTTCATCCAGTGCATAGAGGGGTCACAGGGGTCACTCCTACACTAAATAGAAAGGTTTCTAGGTGGGAATTTAGATTACTTGGTTTTATTTCCAGCTTCAGTAATGGCTTGTCTCCTTGCACCCTGCCTTAGATAAGTATTTTCATCTCTGTTATGAGTGTTTCTTACTCTTTGAAACAGTAGTGATGTGACCGGTGTCTACTTGTAAGCTACTTTCAGATCTCATAATCACTGCATAAGTATTGTTAGTACTGTTGTTAGAAGTTTCTCTTGGTGTATGGAAATTACTACATGCAAAAGTTAAACTATTTCAGTATCATAGTTTTGAGAGCCATATAGGACAAACATTTTTTAATACTTGGGACTTTTATTGCAAAACTAAATGTAGAAGGAAGAGTCTAGCCTTGCATTTACCTGCTTTGGCTTGACTTTGGTTTTTTTTTTTTGTTCCTTTGATGGCAGAAATTCTCTGCTGATTTTGCACAGGACCCTTTGGTGAAATCAAAGTAAATATTGGTAGCACCCTGTAGAATTGTCTTTCTGAGAACTGGGGGAGAAGGAGGATCTTTCTTCTTTAATCAGTAGCAGCCTTTAGAATTATGTTCTCTTGGAATGGGGTATGAAGTATGGCATAGACTTTCTCTGCATAGGTGAAAAAACATTTAGCACTTCCGTCAAAGTACACATTTATTTTGAAAGAAATATGGACTTTCCTTTTCTCAGTAATGATGTGGTACAGTTTAAAAAAGCCTCAGAGATTAACTGGTGCATATTTGATAGTGCGTTACTTTATATCTCAAATTTTGTTTTCCTGTTTCTCAGGTATTCTATTATCAAGATGTTAAATGCAGAGAAGAGATGTATGATAAAGACATCATCATGCTCCAGGTATAATGTTTTGAATCAATGCCTTCTTGTCTTATAAAACTTTATTGGAATTTAAGAAAAATGTAATTTTTAAAATTTATATTAATTAAATTTGTAAGATTTTAAATTTTTTGTCTTGGTGAAAGGCAATTTTTTTTTAATGACTGAATAACTGTAATAGTAACTGATGTTCTTATTAGTTTGGTTTTTTTGATAGATAGGTGCATCTCTTATGGATCCAAACCAGTTCCTCCTGTTGATGCTGCAGAGATACGAGCTTGCTGATGCTTTCAAAAAGATCAAACCCACCAAAGATCAGGTAAGTAGCAAGTTTTCCTGATGGGTAGTTTGTCAGCTTTGAGTATACAAAACATTAATAATAAAAACTAGCTACTGTTGATAACTCCATTTTATGACCACACTAGAACTCAGTAAACACTGGAGCTAGTGGTTAGACAAATGATTTTGTATTTGGAATTTGTAGAGGCTTACTCAAAATTAGCAAACAGATTTTGCTCCCTTTGACCTTTATTTCATAGAGCGTCTACCAAAATCCGTGTAAATAACTTCACTATAAAATTTCCATGTCTTTTAGGCTATGTTACGTGCTTTTATTTTGGCTGGAAGTTTCTTGGGTTGTTAAGCTACTTCTTGAGACTTGAACTTTGGTATAACCCTTCATTTGGGGTACTTTTTTAGCTGTTGTTTCTTTTCCTGCCTGTGAATCTTGCACTTCAGTTGCTGAGTAAAATTTCCTCTACAAGTGCAGACACTTTTTCCGACTTGTTGGAAGTTTCTTCTTACAGTATGGTGCTTCACTGAAATAGTAGATCTGAAGGCTGAGCTCAGTGTCATTTGATGGATTTTCCTGCAGTTTTATGGTTTTCTTTTAAACTGATTTCTCTAACTCTTGTAGGATTTAATCAAACAATATAACATTTTAATAGAAGAGATGCTACAGATTCTCATCTATGTTGTGGGTAAGTTTCAGTTCTCTCGTTGTAGTAATAGATTATTAATTGGACAAAATTGACTTGATGACTTTATTTAACATAGATAATATGGAGAGTATGCTGGAGAGTGCCTATTTTAAATATATGATCCAGTAACACAAATATTTGTCAACTAGAAACAATAGGGGTTGCATAGTGAAAAAGGTTGTTAAATAACATCATAATTGACATTAAAGTAGACTATGAAGAGAAAGTCCATCTTGCCCATTTTGTTAGGAAGCTAGGCTTTTTTACTCTCATACAGTTGAGACAGGTTTCTGACAAATGGAAATGAAACATGCCAGCAATAGCATTATCACTGCAGAAAATTCAGATTTGCTTTATACCTGTTATATTTGCCATTCTCCTTTTGATTCACTCTGACAGGGGAAAGATATGTTCCTGGAATCAGCAATGTGACAAAAGAAGATGTTATAATGAGAGAGATCATCCATCTGTTATGTATTGAACCAATGGCTCACAGTGCAATTACTAAGTCTTTGCCTGAAAATGTGAGTCCTGATTTATTTACTTTTTCCCTTCATTTACTTTTTCTTGGTTTGTCTTTCTTCTTTAGCTTTCTTATCTTAATATGGAGGCATTTTATTTCTGATTAAAAGCTAAAATGTTGGTTTCAGAATTACAAAATAACATGACCAAGTGGCTTACACACGTTACTGATGGAAAGGTAAATGTCATAGTTTCAAGTATGGATGGATCTGGAAAGGCTTATATGGGACTTATGGTTTTTGATTAAGAGGTGGAATTTTTTAGAATATTCAGATGTAGTTCATAGAATCGTAGAATAAACCGGGTTGGAAAAGACCTCTGAGATCATCAAGTCCAACCCTTGATCCAACACCACTGTGGTTACTAGACCATGGCACTAAGTGCCACATCCGGTCTCATCTTAAAAACCTCCAGGGATGGTGAATCCACCACCTCCCTGGGTAGCCCATTCCAGTGTCTGATTACTCTCTGTAAAAATTTTTTCCTAATAGTCAACCTAAATCTCCCCTGGCACAGCTTAAGACCGTGCCCTCTTGTCCTACTAGTTCTCCTAAATTCAAAAAGAAAAGTTTTAAAACTTTCTGTGTTGGCCCTATAGGACCATGGGGCTGAGTTCCATTCGGCCCTGTGTGCCATCAGTAAATTTGATCCTATAATTTTGATCATTTAAACCTGTGCAGATCAATTCAAAGTCAGGTGTCGTACAGATCTATTTGAAAACACAGATTTCCCGGTCTTTCTATTCCAATTGTTGAAAATTCAAGCAAAGCAGAGAGATGTAGATTAGATTTTATAGTCCGTGCAAGTTTTCAGGGCTGGCAGTTAATGCAAAAAAGCTACAGTTTTATTGTAAATTAAATACCCTGGAATATTATCGTAATATCCACATTCACGGTTTTAAAATAACTGAACCTCCATTTTTCCTTCCATTGAGTTTGGGTAAGCACTGCCCTGTTTCTAGAGATCAGCTCAATTATTAATAAAAGTTTTACGTGATTCACTGAAAATATTATCCGGTTTTGATACTTCCTTGGAACTTGTCAATTATGAATTTCTGCTTTCTGATTAACAGCGGGCAAAATATATTAATTCATGAATTAGGGAATTATCTAAATCTGTTTGCCTATTTTTATTACACATAGCGTAATACTGAAGATATTTATATATTTATTCCAAACTAAATTTTTTACCAGGAGAACAATGAAACTGGCTTGGAGAATGTCATTGATAAAGTGGCTACATTTAAGTAAGTTCTTAATGTTGTTTCATAAGTAGCTTGTATGTGAAGTAAGATCTCTTAGATTATGTGGGTTAAACAAGCTGAACTGTACAGTCTTTGTTCAGCTAATATTTTGCTGTCTTGAAGTATATGTTTGGAAGTATGCATAGGAAAGAAAAGTGTATAGATTATCCTAAGCTACTGCTGCTTCTCTCCTTTTGCCACCCTTTTTCCTCAAATTCAGTTTGAGGAGTCTCAGGAGTTTAGTAATCTCATGTCCTATAATGTTCAAAAGGGTTTTGGTTTGTTGTTGTTGTTGTTGTTGTTGTTGTTTTTTCCAAAGATGGCTACGAACATTAACAACTCTCATTGTACCCTTGACAATTGCCATCTAATAACTGGTTTAAATGTTACTTAGTTGCTAACTTTCCATTATTTTCAGATGGGAGTTAATTTTATATACATGTGCATATATATGTGCATGTAAATATAGAACAATCAATTGTAGTAGTTGAGAAAAACTAGTTCAAGTGTCTGCTATTTTTGTAAGAAAATTATCTTGTTTTAATTATTTTAGTATACTTTATTTTAAATTTCATATGACTTGCTTTTTTATGTTTAATTAAGAACAGCTATAGATTTACCTAGGCATTTTACTTTGAGAATTATATGGATGGTTTAAAAAAATCTCACTGGAAAGTAGCTGTTTGTATTACTTGTTTTGTAGTTTGGTTAAAGAAAGGAATGAATTTTATACAATAACATCCAGTGTCTGAAATTCTAAGCCATAAAGTTTAAAAGAATTTTCAGAGGCTATATCATGTACATTAGATGATGTATAGACTAGAAATGGTTTGCTGCTCCAGAGAATTAACAGTAGTAAACAGTCTTGAAAATTAAGGACTAATAAATGTACTCACTCCCCGCTTTTTGTAAGTTAATGAAGTAACCATCACTATTCCACTTGCATTAGAAAATAAATTGTGTTACTGGTTTGTTTACATTTAAAGATGTGCTGAACATACATTACTGATTTGTATGTCATGAAATATTTCTCTGTAAGGAAACCAGGTGTCTCTGGCCATGGAGTTTACGAACTAAAAGATGAGTGCTTGAAGGAATTCAATATGTTCTTTTATCACTATACTAAGACCCAGCACAGCAAGGTAAGCAGTGTAAGATTCACTCTCAAAGGTTAAAAAATAGCATACACTTATCAATGTCTTAAAGAATTTTATCATATCAAAGGAAGTGATGGAATATAAAGGAACTGATTCAGTAAAGAGTATATGCTGCGAATTTTAAAACTAAATGTTTAATGGAGTTAAGATTGTCAATACAAATTGACAATGGTTTGCATTAGTATTTTGTTTGCAATTGGTATTTGGTTTGCATTAGTGTTTCCCCTATGGTGACTCCTTTATTAACTCTGTTAACTCTTAAAGCTAAGAACAAAATATGATAAGAATTATCTTTGTACTAGGAACCCCCAAACTTTGCTTTTGTAACTGTTATTGAGGAAGCAAATATGTCCAATTATTTATCTCTACTACAAATTTAAATGCAAAATGCGATGTTGTTAAACAGATTTCTGACAAAATTCTAGTTAGACAACCAGGTATTCACTATATATCTTGCCAGATTTCTAGTGTAGGATTTCTCATTGTTTCATTGGGTACTCCTGTAGAGGTGCTGATACAACGACACTGCTTTTTCTGTAGGCTGAGCATACGCAAAAGAAAAGAAGAAAACAAGAAAACAAGGATGAAGGTAAAAATTTGAAACTCATGACTCAAAAAATGTGATAATTTGGTAGTGTATGTACTTGTATGTGTATAATGAGCTTTGGGAGTTGTCTTGTGACTTAATTGTGGATAGTTGAGTTCATATTAAATTTGTTGTTATTTGTAGTAATTGTAATTAACTAGCACCTGACATTTCTTTTATCATTTTTACTTATCTAAGACAAAAATAGGAGTTTAGAAATTTTTGGTTTAATTTCCATGTAGACAAACAAACAAGCTGTAGTACCCACTGACAAACTCGTGCACAGCTCAGAGTTTTTATGGTGAAGTAACAAAGAGGCAAAAATTCTAGATTTTTTTTTTTGGTGAGTATTTTCTTTAGCCCAATGTTGAGAAATAATAATGCCACGTAGATTAGGTTGTTGCAGGAACTGGTGCTCATATCCATTCTGTAATACAAGAATGAGACTTTAAAGTTTAATAAATAAATTTTCTTTATAAACTATGAATACATAAAACAATAAACCCCCGTGTTTCTATTGTAACACAAATATTATTTCCCTTTCGAGTCTACTTTTACCCATTCAAGTCACAAGCATTAATTGAGTTGTTTTGAGGAAGACTTGGTAAGCTGAACAAATAAGTACAACGAACAATTCAATAAAATCAGCTATCACCTGCTTTTGTGAGTTACAACAGATGTAACTATTTTTTCTTCCTAGATTGACCTTTCAGTTGAATACCTTAATCTTTACTTCCTGCTCTAAAGTGTATTTTGATTTTTGTGTACCATCACAGGCACTATAGCATTTCATACTTAAGATGATTAAAATTAATTCTTATGAATTTTATTTGCTTGAGGTTCCTTTCAGTTGAAAAACTGTGGAACTGAAAAAGAATACATTGGCATTGTCATTTAGGAGGGACACAGTTGAATTGGAAATCACATTCTTTTAAAAAAAAACTTATTTCTTTCAGTTTTAAGTAACTCAGAAGATTATTACAGCTGAAAACTAATGAGAGGGGAAAAAGGGGTTTGAATGACTTTTGGTTTCTTCCTCCGGTGTTCATTTATACAGTTGACGCATTTTCAGCAGCACCTTCAGAATTTCTGCCTTCCCCTTTCACTGTGGCAACTCTAAGACATTATCAGGGGTATTGGTTTTGTAGAACTTTAAAAAAATGCAATTATTTAGATGTAATTGTCAGAAACTCACATTCATATAATTGGTAGTGCAGTTACAAAATAAAAGGATAACTGTTTACATTTGATGTGTGTTCCCCTGAGGCTACATGTTCTGTTGCAAGCACTTCCTACATATTCTCTTATGTGACTGCATTGTCTTTGTCAGTAACTTGTTATAATTCATTCAGTCTGAATTGTCAAAAGATTGATAGTTAGAGACACTGCATTCACAGAGGTTTTCTGAAAATAGGCATCCGGGTGCCAAAAGAAGACTTAAGTCAGTGCTTCCAGGTTGGAAAAGACTGTGGCATTAAATAAGCTGCTGTTAGTAAATGCTAAGATTCCAGGTAGCTTCTAGGAGAAGCTACCACATCACACAGTTTCAGTATTAGCTCAGAAAATGTACATAGCTGGAAATGATCAGAATTCCTCTGTAGAAGAAAGAATTTAGAGCTCCATACATGTGACACTGTAGTATGAGACTTTGGAAGCTCCACTGCTCACTTTTGTTTAATGACTTGAAGACTTTATATCTGATGCAAAACACAAACTATATGTTTAATAGTGATACATAACTCATAAGACACTGCAAAGTATTAAAGATTTGTGTTTACAGATACAACTAAGTACTTGCGATCGATGGTTTAGCTTGCCTGTGGTTTATATAAGAACTTAATTTTGGTTTATGTAAGTGCTTAGCTGTGGTTTATATAAATACTTAGCTTTGGTAAAGATGACAGCTGTCTTAGGTGAACAATTGTGTTTGTCATCGTTTTATTAATTCAAAAGTCCAGTTTTTCTTCACTGAAAGTAGTATTTTTGTGCTCTCTATTTTTTGCCTGCAGTCTTGGGTGGAATGCCAGCTCAGTAATATATTTGCTTATCTCCGTTTTCTAGCATTGCCACCACCTCCTCCTCCAGACTTCAGTCCTGCCTTCAGCAACGTGGTGAGGATTCTGAACTGTGATGTTATGATGCACATCCTGCGGACCCTTCTTCAGAGAGCAGTGGAACTGGAAACCCATTTTTGGACTGAGGCTATGATTCAAATGGTATGGTCAGCCTTAGTCATCTTCCTATGGCCATTCCTGTACTGACTATGTTAACTGCTTATGATAAGATCGAAATATGTAAAGGTAACTTTGAATGATAAGGATTTAGTTCTTGTTCCCAAACCTGCTTTTATAAATCTTACTGATGAAGAAAATATTTCTAATTATCTATCTCCATTGTAAAATAAAAACACGGTACACAATTATATTAAATAGGAAATATTCTCCAATTTTCTATTTTTTTCCCTACCTTTGTTGCCTGATCACTGAAGCTGTTTCAATACGTAATCCTACTTACCTCATCTTTTTCTTGAAACTTCATGTGCAATTAAGTCACCCTTTGATAATCTTACAGAAATTGGAGTTGCTTCATTTTGTAAGCATATAAATGTCTTTGGGGCCTCAGTCATGGAATAAAGTAATTTTTGTATTTCATTTTACCACAGTGACTTTATGCTTTAAAAAAAAAGGAATTACTGACACTGTTGAAAGGGGTTTTTTTGCGTGGTTGGTTCGTTTGTTTGTTTTTGGAAGTTGTTTTTTTAATATTTATAGAATTACATATAGACCTGAATTTACAGATTACATGAAATAATCAGTTTTGTTCATTAGAGTGCATGGATTGTTTAATTGCTTTGCATTACCTGGTAATTTTTGGATTATGGAATTAACCAAATATAGATTTATATCAGCAAAAAGACAAGCTTCACATTTTACTAATGTGAAGAGTGTACAAGTTTATTAATTGTAGTGCAACTAACACGCAGTAAATTTATATTGTGCATTTTTATTTCACTTACCATGTATGATCTCTGCACTTTTTCAGGTGTTTCATCATGGATATAATCAGTATATAGTACAGAACCATATTAAACACTCTTATTATATATGCCAGTTTTCCTTATCTCTAACATTGGATGACACCTGGTATTTTTCTCTTTTTTTTCAGGTGCTCCATCTCCTTTCTTTAGGGTTACTAGAGGAGAAGCAGCAGTTACACAAGTCTCCAGAGGAAGAAGTATCCTTTGATTTTTATCACAAAGCAACACGTATGTTTTATTTTCTAAAATAAATAAACTAGAAGAAATTAATCAGTGATTTGAGTCAGAAAGATTTTACTTTTTGCTTTATATTAAAACCTGATAAAATATTTTTTTTTTAATAATCAAGTAACCAGGTTTGGACTAGCTTCCTTTGCTCCCATTGCCAGGTATATTGAAGAGGATATGTGTTTCTCTTTGTGGGAAAGAAATTGAAAGTAATATTAGTGTTACATAACTGAAAATGGTTTTTTCCTTCACAAGAACACTGTTGAAATGGAAACTAAGAAATCCTTGAAAAATGGCAGTGGATTTAAGTAAACTGTCTCCACCTTTTGTACTCCTGAGCTGTACAAGTATTGAACTACCTGCAAGTTACTCATTTACTATCGTAGTGATAATAGAAACAGCAACTTAGTGGCTGTGGACTGTACTTTTTTCTTTTTCAAATCTCTACTAAGCACTTCCTAATCTTACATTCAAGACTAGTGAGTGGGCATTGGAATCTGCATTTTCTAAATAATCTCTCATCTTATTTAGAGTTTCTGCTTCACTGTGTAAGAACAAATAAAAAAAATCCATTATCAAACTAAACATAATTGTCACTTGTAAGATGCAAGAGAGATAAGAATTGTTTAGATTGGAAAAGACCTTTAAGATGATCAAGTCCAACTGTTAACCCACCACTGCCAAATGCATCACTAAACCATGTTCCTAAACATCACATCCGTGTGTGTTTTAAGTACCTCCTATGTGAATAAATACATAAAACTACTGAAGTGTCTTTATTTAGTTTTTAAAAAATGTTGTTTGAAATGTGAGTTTGAAAAATACTCTTATTTCACTTTATTTTTTAATTTTTTCTTATTGTTGAGCAAAGAGAAGTGTCATCTTAAGTCCATCTTAAATGGAACGTATTTCCATTTAAGAAGCTTCATGTCAACTATAGGCATAAATTCAAATTAATTAGATGCTAGAGAATGCTTTGCCACCTTTAGTTTTGCATAACTGGAAAAACCAAAACCCCATTTACACGAAAAGGTTGCAAAAATAATCAGTATTTTTGTAAGAAGGCTCTTACAGAGAAGTGATTTAATAAAAAAAAAAATTTGTTTTATAATGTATTTGTCTCCCTACTAAAAATGTGCAAATTAATTTCTTGTAGAATGTGCTGCAGTAGAAATATTGTTGAAGGGAAAGGTCTCAGTTTTAAAGCATTCTTGTGTTAGAGAAGGGCCTAGAACGCTATGAGCTAGTCACCAAGTTGTAAGGAAGGAAATAATTCCTGTAATAATAAGAGTTTGTGGGATGGAAATAAACTTATGCAAGCTAAGCTGTTAGCAAACTTAGATAAGCTACAAGAGCTTTACTGCTTCCCTTGGAAGTGAAAAGGCATTCTTTTTTAAGCAGAAATTAGTAAGCAAAGATTTTCTAAAGCAGAAAGTACTGATCTACAAGGGGATAGATTATACTTTATATAAATGAAATAAACAGATGAAATTAAATGAGAAAAGTAACTAGGCAGGTTGTGTTCATGTATGTGTGTTATATAATTAGCAATACTTTAAAGCATGTGTGGCTGTAAATACATGAAGTCCCTCTTCTATTTTTCACTTTGTAAAGGAATGGGAAGCTCAGCCTTAAATGCTGTGAACGTATTAATGCTTCTGGAAAAACTGAAGAGTGTTCCTCAATTAGAGGCACAGAAGGACACAGTCAATTGGATACTGCAGGTACACAAGGGAGAGATAAGTATGATCTGATTTCAGTAATGAAGAAAGCTGTTATGGAAGATGTTATGATTCCCACATACAATCCAGTGTTTACAGCTGCAATGATTTCTCGATGTTTAATCTATTGCAACATTTTTTTCCTCCAGACCAGATGGCTTCTTGAATACTGTGTTAACACTTAGAAGTCACTGTACTTGCTTTGCTAATTTCAAGAGCTGGGTCAATCTTTGCTTAGAAAGGGACTTTTAAAAATTATTTAACTCCAACCCTCCTGCCATGGGTAGGGACACCTTCCATGAGACCAGGTTGCCCAGGGCCCCATCCAGCCTGGCCAAGAACACTTCCAAGGACGGGGCATCCACAGCTTCTCTGGGCACCCTGTTCCAGTGCTTATATAGCGCAATATTGTAATTGTATTAATCTATACTGTAATAAGAGCCAAGTTGCATTTTATTTTTAACATCTAAGTTTCTATTTTTAGATGTTTGACATGGTGAAAAGACTGAGGGAAAAATCTAGTTTGACAACAGTAGCAGCTGCATCAGCCTCAGAAGCTACAAAAGGTGATGAGGTAATAATAAAAATAAAAGTTCAATGGAAGCCTTGTATTTAATGTTTTGAATGGCTATTTTCAATAATGAGAGTAAATTAATTGTTGCCTAAAATGCGAATTTTTAAAATTAATTTCTGATATCTTGTCTACAAATAGGATTTGTAGCTAAACATGTTTCATGGAATTATCAGCAGCTAATGTGTGGGTTTGGTTGTATTTCCAAGTTAAGTGAAACAACTGAGGGGGGTGAAGGAAGTAATTTGTGTTCATCTTTCTGTTTCTTGTCTTTATGATCTGACCACCTTTTCTATTATATTGTCATTGTACAGTAATTAGAAATACAAATCCACTTAAAGTGATGTCTTGTAATTTACGTGCCCTGTCAAGAGGTTAATCTGCTTTGCCTGATTGTGTAAAGACATGAGGCTTAAGTATTTATTCTATCAGTCTCTTTGCACTTCGCTCAAAATAACTTTTTAATCCAGTGGTCAAGTGACACAATGAAATGGAGATTTCAAAGATTACTGCAGTCCCATTTTCACATTGGCAGTTGAACAGAAGAGAATCTAATTACCCGTAGACAGTATGCAAAGACAGGCCAGTTTGCTCTTACGCATTTTGTTTGGCGACAGCTTGCTGCCAAACAATCTCTTGGCTGGTCATTGCATGCATAGCTCTAAACTTATCACAGCATATGCTGTGTTTCTTTTTTGAGGTAGGTGTCATATGGTATCTGATAAGGTGTCAAACAAAATACAGAAGTCAGTAAGAAATTAGTCTCTTACTGTTCCACTGCTTGTGGAGCAATTTGTTGTTGTTTGATTTCCTCAAAAAGTAATGGTATTGTCAATGGAAACAATGTTTATAATGCTGAATTTGTCCCTTAAATAATAGAATAGGAGGAGTTAGATTCTATATGTTTTAATTAAGTCTACCTGTTTTTTGAATTCTACATTTCTAAAGCATAGAAATACCTTGTTTATATTTTTTGAAAACATGATAGATGAGTAAATACTGGAAGAAGAATAGTTTTCCAGTGTACCATAAAGAATAATGAAAATACAATACACAGATACATAAAAAGCTGCTACATTTGTTGTGTCATCGATATCTCAAGATAAAATTTTCTTCAATTTTGTAAGGAAGATACTGAATATTCAGTAGGGGTTTCACTTATGGGGAGAATAACAGAATACTGGAGAAAGCTTGTGATGCTCACCTCACTAAAATTTCTTAAGAACAGACAATTACTTAATTAAAATGGCTCAAGTATTATTGATCTTGTCTTTGGGCTAGGAATTGTACTAGTGACCTTTTGTGGACCACAAAAGTACAGTCTTCTGACTAGGTTCATTAACCTAGTTGCATTTAAAGATCTGAGTTTTGTTTATTTTTCAAATAGCAGTAAGCTTTTTGTCCTCATTAAAGTGTTGTCAGTTAAGGAATTTGATGTCAGTGGTTAGAATACCTATAGTCGGGGAAAGAGTCTTCTCATTTTTTGATGTTCTTAGTTGCCTGTGATTTCTTTATTCCCTTATTTTAAGACACAGAGCACTCAGGATAAAGAGAAAGCTGAGCGGAAGAGAAAGGCAGAAGCAGCAAGGTTGCACCGTCAGAAGATAATGGCCCAGATGTCTGCACTTCAGAGGAATTTTATTGAAACCCATAAGCTCCTCTATGAAAACACACTGGAGGCTCAGGGGAAAGAAGATGCTATTATGGAGGAAGAAAGGTGAGAAAAAAGACATCCAGAGTTCTGGTGGGAAGAGTTCATTACCTGCTACATAAATTCGTTATGCTCCATAAAGTTCATAAGTAGATTCGGGGGACAGATTGTGTCATTGCAGTCAACAAACTTGTGTCTCTATTTACTTTTAAGTCATCTTCTGTTAAAAAATTATATATATACTAGCACGTGTGTGCTGATGTAAGAACAGTGGATCACTTTGTAGACAGCATAAGATAAACTGTAAAAAAAATCCGTTCTTGAAATGGTAGATATTTATATTGATTAACATTTAAAAAAGTATCATTGGAAACCTGCTGAGCTGACACCACTGTAATCTTGGAGGCAACTGTCAACCTTATATGAAAATTGAAGTGTTTTATTTGGAAAGAATCTGAAAGCCAATGTGTCTTAAGCTTAAGTTTCAAGAAGAATACATGCTTCTTGTAGCTCAAATCACTGATATTTCTGTTTGTTAGGTTTTAAAATCTTATACTGAAGGTGTTTGGTTTCTGTTGGTTATAATTTTGTTGATATGGATTGCTCCTGTTCTAGAGATACTTCAACAATAGAGTGTAATACAGCTCACAATTTTTGTGTAATTGGGGCTTCACAAAACTAATCTGGAAAATAGAGATAGCTGCTGAAAGAAAAGCACAGATCACTTCCATATGCTTTGGTCTTTAATAAATTGTCTTCTATAAGTCATTGTTGAACTTTGGAATGGGGAATATTTTAAAAATATATGGAAGCTTATTGTGTCATGAAGCATTGTTTTAAGGTAGTGGCATTAATTTTCAATATGTTTTCTTCAAGAATGGAAAACAATTTTAATGTGTCTGTAAGATTGAAATATATTTAATCCAAACTACACTGAATATAGCTTCTTGAATTTCCTGCTATCTGAATCCATTTCACTGTGTTACTTTATCTTAGCTGGCTTCCACTTTCTCTTTTTAAAGAATACTGCATTTTAGTGAGGATTGAGAAGTTTCTTCATTGCTTGGTCATCATTTGGTTTTGTAAAGCAATGTGGTATAAAACCAGAAATACTAGGAGTGTATGACCTTGTTAGATGCCTGGAAGAATTAAGTTTATGTAGAAAAAGCCACCTGATTATTTTCTATGTGTGTCACTTATGATCTTACAGCGTGTCTTCAGCAATTGATTACTCCAAAATTGCTTTGGGTCCCAAACGAGGTCCATCTGTTGCTGAGAAAGAGGTCTTGACCTGTATTCTTTGTCAGGAGGAGCAAGAAGTAAAGTTGGAAAGTGCTGCCATGGTGTTATCTGCCTGTGTCCAGAAATCAACTGCCTTAACTCAGAATAGGAGCAGAATTCTTGAACTCTCAGGGGGTATGTGATTTTTCTTCTTTTAGACTACAAGCAGTTCTCTACCTAGAGCTCAGACCCTTTGAACCAATTAAACTTTTACGTTTGGTCAGGTTGCTGAATGGCTTACCCTACTTAAGGAAAAGAAGGTGAAAATGTTTAAACTGTTCTAAAATCCATACTTTAAAACTTAAATGAGAAGTGTATGAAGGTTTAGGTTTGTTGCTGGGGAAAATCAATCTCACAAGAAGATTTAATCAAACATGTAGATTTGGTAGGAGTAGTTGCCCTGGAAAAAATCCAGGACTGTTCACAGTTTGTGTTTATTTAAGTACAACAGCAAATTTTCCCAATATGGAGGAAATAAATGAACATTATCAGAGGCCAGTATGGCAGCCCAAAAAGGGTTTGGGTGTTTGTTTCTGTTTGGTTTTTTTTTTCCTCCCATGTCTGGGAAATAATAAAAGCAACAATATAAAAAAGTAGGAAAGTGTAAGCAAGGATTGATATCATCTGATAAATGAAAAAAAAAAGAATACAAGAAAATTATACTAACACAAGAGTTAGATTTGCGCAGTAGCATGTTGGTAGCAGGGGACACAAAGACCAACTACAATTTCTTTGTAAGTAGCAGTTGATTCAACGTGATAGAACTTTTGGTCAGTTACTTAAGGGAAAGAAGAAAATAAATAGAAGTATAAGGGAAATTTAAGTACTCACTGACATTTTTGCATTTTTCCTCTCTTTTTGGCAAAAAAAAAAAAAAAAAAAATTTCAAGACCTGATGCTGTTGGCTTTTGATTTTAAAAAGAGAGAAGTGCAGTCTGGAATAGGATAAAAAAAGTTGAAACAGTACCTGGAGAGGGAAGAGCCCTTTTTGCTGTTCAACCAGTTGGCTGTTGCTTTTGAATTTTATTGTCTCTTTCTTCATAATTAGTGGAAAGCCTTCAGTAGTTCAAGTGGGTTCTGTCTTGTGATTGCTCTGCTGGATTATTGGTCTGGAAAAGTTAGCCAAATGGAGTTTTAATGTGACTGTGCAAACTGTAGGAAAATAAAAATGTTCATGTTCTATGTATATTCTTGTTCATTTCTCATCCTACTGATGGGAAGTTATGTTACTGTTCTTTTAATAATTTCTTTCTGCCATGTCTTTCTAGATACACTAGATCCTCTCTTCATGCACCCTGACTTACCTTGTGGGACACACACAGGAAGCTGTGGTCATGTGATGCATGCAGCCTGCTGGCAGAAGTAAGGATGTGTATTTGCAACCTTTTAATGATTTTTAATTAATCTATTTTCCAAATCATCTTAGTGCACTCTGAAAACACAGTACAGTAAGTGGATATTTAATTAAGGAATCACAACTATTTGTACTCACCTAAAAATAAAATATGGCATAAGAGATGTTTTGACATGGTGAAGAAAATAGTCATCAGAAGTTTTTAAGGCCCTCTATGACCGAAAGAAGAATCTCTAAGGATTACTAATTTATGCAAATAAAACCAGTGGTGTAAAACTGGTGAAGAATAAGAAACCGTATCTAGTGAATTTACTCTTAGCAGTCCAGTGTGAACCAGTAGGAATCTTCCTACAGGTGAGCATTCAAGAGTAACAGTACTTTGAAGGTCTGTCACTAGGTCAATACTTAAAGGATGAAGCTGAGTTATTCCAGTGGGTCTTTAGATGAGATTCTTGCATTTAGAATAGAATAGGAGTGGTTAAATCTACCAATACTTTTTCGCAGCCCCTCCCATTTTGGTGAACAAACCCTTAATAAGAGATAAGGACAAAGAATTGATACAATGGTTGTAAACTTTACTAGATTTCTATGAGTTGGGGGACCCACAATTTAGACCAAGTGTGTTGGATTAGAATGCAGCCTGAATATTAAAAGGCTGAGTTCCCTAGCTTGCAGAATAGAGTCATCCTATATTTGACTCCACAAAGGTCTAAACAAGATAAATAGTGTGAAATAATAATAGAAATAATCTTGGTGAATTGTCAACAGATAGAGAGTTGGGTCATGCAATGACAGCTACTCTTTATTGTTGTATGTTATAAACAATCTCTTGAGGTTTGTTGTTTGTACTTGTGCTATTTTACTTCAAAAAATCTTACTAAACTCCTAGTGCTTATTATTTACTTTTCTATATGTGTGTATATATAGTTTTTTTGCAATAAAACATCGGTACAGAATAAATAGGTGCACACACTTAAAATGATACGGAAGTATGTTCCTTGAGTATAATACATCTGCTCTTGGCAGATCCATCTACATCTGCGTAGATCTAAGTAGTGCAACACTGGAGCTCAGTTCCCTTGCTCTTTTTAAGAAAAGATGACTTGCTGTATGGGTTAATGGGATTAAAATGGACAACAGGCTCTTCTCATACGGGATGGCACAGAAGGTTTGAGTATAGTCTTTTATTTATTACGTAACAGACATTCTAACTTACTAATATTGCTCCAAACAATGCCTGCCATACCCCTCTATGTGCAGCCTAAAAATACTGCCAACCCTTTAAAACAGTACAAGTTCAAATGAATGGAATATCCTTGTAGTTGCGATGTATAAGGAAGGGTAGTTGCTTGCAAAAACATAGTTGATTGAATGTGAGGAAAATAAATGTATCATTTTATTGATTGTAACAAAATACATTTCTAAATAATCTGTGTTTATTAGAACTTATGCAGATGCCCCTGCATACACATTTTCTCTTATTACCTGAATGGGATTTTATTTTATTCCCTTAAGATTTATGATTTCAAGCAAAAAAAAAATCTTGTATTACCTCGGTGCACAAGTTAGATTATTTCATATCTGTCTCTAAGTTGCTACATACCCAGTCAGAACATTAGGACCGAATTTAGTTGCATGTATTCAGACAAGAAGATTTAAAGGCTGGATCTTTTTGTTTGTAATAATACCTCTGAGACATTAATGAAATTTGAAGGCTTACTACATCCAGTGAAGGGGCAAAATTATAACGAAACCTGTAAAAAGATCATAGTTATTTCTTAGTTTCCTATTGAGTTTAAAATAGTTGAAATGCGATATCGTAATATAAATTCTCTTCCTGTTATAAGAAGGCCACAGTTTCATTGTCTTGTCATGAGACTCAGTCGTTGCAGTGAGTAGCTGATAAATTATTCGTGAATTGTTACCAGTATTTTTTCCTAAAATTAAATAACAATATGTGCAATTCCTGTTTCAAATTTACTGTAATAAGTTGCATATTAGAGATATTAGATACAACATTTCATTGTGTTGAAGATAAGAGGGAAGAGTAGAAAATGTAAGGACAGCTTGTCTGTTAAGTGTTAATGAAATTTAAAAGGATTTTATAGGCAAGGGAAACTTGCCATCGTTTTTCCATCAGTGGTATACCATGCATTTTTGTGCAAGTTCATCTATGTGCTCAAAGATTTTATTATTTTCACATCCAACAAGAGATTTGTTTTTTCTCTTGAGTAAGTGTTTGCCGTATAATAACACTTTGAACATTTGTTTTCATGTCGCATTTGAGCCATTCCACTTCCTAGTAATTTCCTTTTCAATGTTGCAGATACTTTGAAGCAATGCAGCTCAACTTTCGACAGCGTCTGCACGTTGAACAGATATTTGACTTGGAGAATGGAGAGTATCTCTGTCCACTTTGCAAATCTCTGTGCAATACTGTGATTCCTATCGTTCCATTGCAGGCTCAAAAAATAAACAGGTGAAATACAGATTGCATAACTTTAAATTAAAAAAAATAAAAAAAAAGTAAAAATTATTTTGGGACTGGTTGGGTTTTCAAATTTTTGGATGGAAAACTTGGGTTGAGCTTCCTAATCTGTACAAAAGACCGCATATCTCCTTATTGATTATTCAGCCAAATATACTTCTTTTGGCAATCAATTTTTTATTTTTAAAAAGAAGCATTTTTTGATTGGCTATTCTTTGGAGTTGATATCAAATGAGAAACTACCTAGATTTAGTATTTAGCCTAACACTTAATTTTGTGCTGTTTGCTCAAAATGTACAAAGCCAGTAAAGCCCAGCAAATACTGAGTTCATGTGTTTGGATCTAATTGTGTCTTCTGTTTTTAAAGTTCAGGTGATTCTTGTGAGTGTTAAACTAAAATCTGATTTTTGTTTTTGTTTTCAGTGAGGATGCAGAGGCAGTTGCTCAAATCCTGTCCCTAGCTAGGTGGCTGGAGATTGTCACAGTCAGGATATCAGGCTACAGTGTGAAAAATGCTAAAGGTTTGCTGTCTTAATTTTTAAGCTATTCCATGGATATATGTCAGTACATGTTTTAACTAATACCAACAGAAAACTTAAAATAAAGAATACATTTGGCTGTCAATCAAGACAGTATCAAATCAAGCTGGGGATAAAGTCATAGCCCTTTCTGAGCTGATGTCTTGATTTCACAGTGTCCTCACTGATTTTTCTGGTTTGTGTTAAATTCTTTCCATCTTTCCTGTAGAAAAAATTATATGCATTTGGAGAAGATATCAACAAACTAGCGCTCAGAGTTAATTAAACTTTTGTGTTGACTTTGATGTAGTAAAAAAGAGAAACTAAATTAAAAAGGCCAAAATAGAAATATGTATAAATATTTAGAAAACAGAAGATACAGAGAATCAACTACTGTTTTGGGGAATAGAAGCAAATGTTACTTAAGTAGGAATCATACAAGATGGTCTGGCTTGTGAGGTGTGTTTACAATTATTTTCTAATCAATTTAAAGTAAAAAGAAGACTCACTTCTATTAGACTGCTATAAAAACTTTACCAACTTACTTGGATTTTAATGTGGATCTATTTATTTGTTTTTTTCTGGAAGGAGAGAAGCAAAATCTTTCAGCTTTCATCAGCAAGGGAATGGGGAACTCTGCCTTGGAATTCCATTCCATCCTTAGTTTTGGAGTTCAGTCCTCGTAAGTGTTACTGGAACTCTTCTCTGCACTGTGTTAATTCTCTCTTAAATAACCTATATGTGCTTCAGAATCTGTATTGAAGAAAAGATATATGATTTGTTTGCTCTAAATAATGACTTACTTATTCTTTTCCATAAGCATTCACTGAATATCAGGTCTTTGCAGAGCTATGTGGATCTTTTGGTCAAATCAGTCTGGTAGTTCTTATATTCTTGGTACAAAACTAGAAGTCTGGAATGTTCTAATCCACAGTTCTAGTGATTTGGATTACTTGCTGTGCCTCTAGGCAAGTTATTTACTGCCTGTCTGCCTTAATTTTCCTGCTACATGTATGTTTCAGGCATAGATTACACTTTGTTTTGGATGTGATAATGTAATAAGGATTACTCAGAGGAATAGGACTATGTTGTCTGTTTCTATGCCATTGGGCAAAAGCACTCACCTACTAAAACAGAATGAGTGGATAGATACTTTTCAAGTGTGCTCAGCTGCCTCTTTTTAGATCATGCTGTGAGTACTCTGCTTCTGCTACTTCTGACTGACATGATTATGCAAAGTACTCACATGTATCTGTTACTTGCAAAAATGTCTTCAGAAAGTTGAATCAAATTTTTTCTGGTCTCCATGGGAAAGATTCTTGAACTTTAACAGTGTGGTGTTTAAGTATGAACTTGAGTAAACTCCAGACTTTATGGTGCAATTGTTTTGTCTGTAGACATATGGAGAATTAATACAAATGTCAAATGTCATTAGTGTTAGAAAGTTCTGTGTATGACTTGGACAAAAATCCACAAGCCATTAAAACTGCTAAACGCTTTTGTACATAAAACTTTTCCCTTTATCTTAAATGCTAAAAAATGTGTTTTAAAATAAATTTGAATGTTTTAAAATACATTTGAAAAGTCCTTCTTTCCATTTTTAGTGCCTTCTGATTTTTGCTTCAGCACTTACAATTCTTAAAATGTTTGTTTTCATTGTGTTTTACTTGGCTTTAAGTGGTTGTGTTTTTCACATGTGAATTATAAGGTAATATACAGAAATAATCTCTTCCCAGCCTGGCAGCTCTTAATCCCTCAATTTGTAGAGCCTTTTATGTCAAGGTACTTGTTAATACTGGAAACTGGTGATTTTTTTCTCCTCTGTACAGACAAAGGGTTGTTGTATTCAAGATTTCTTTCATAAATAACTGGTTTGGACTTAGACTTCTTTAGTGATTGATTGACCAGTAAGGAATAAGAATTATTAATAATTGAGACTGCAGTTATCTTGTCTTGCTTTTGCAGAGCCAAGTACTCAAGCAGTATCAAGGAGATGCTTATTCTCTTTGCCACCACCATTTATAGAGTTGGGCTAAAAGTTGCTCCAAACGAAGCTGATTCGCGGATTCCTATGATGACCTGGAGCACATGTGCTTTTACTATCCAGTGTATAGGTAAAGCATAATTTGGGTTTATTGTTTTGTCAGGGAAGAGTTTGCCAGCAAGTGCATAAATGTAATAACTGTTATCACAGAAATGATATTGAAGGCCTATGTCAGTAGTAGAAAATTCAGATACCTTATGAGGACAAATTTTAAAACAAGAAGGATCACTGTGACAGTTTGACTTATCCTAGGCCACACTACTTCCTTGGATTCATTTTTGTTTGCAAATAGAGCAGGCTTCTGTGAAATTGTAAAGCAAAACTGCCTATATGACTTCAGTATACCGGTCTGGAGTCTAGTCATAGTGCATTATTAAAACCACTTAACAGGCAGGTAGCCAAGCTGCCTGGATAAGGAACTTTAGCTATCTGTATTACTGGAGTCTCTAGAAGAAGTTCAAAGCATCTTTGACCCAAGAGATGTAAATTGGTGTTACTCCCAAAAGCCAGAATGCTGAAAGTACAGATCTGATTTTTCCCATATTTCCTCAGAAACTCACATGTTGTGTGTTAAACTGATGTATGGAAGTGCTAAGTTTAAAGGACTTAATGTTTTGTTAGAAGTGATTAAAAGAAAAAAGGAAACAAACTAAAAAAAACAACACAACAAAAAACCTCCAAATAAAAACTTCCCAATGAAAACAAATAGAAAATTTCCAGCTGTTCTGATTCGTCTCTGAAGTGAATAAAGCACAAAAACATTTGAATGGATACCTTTTTACTCATTTGAGTTAATTTAGTTTCTTATTTTTATGAGCTTATTTTATCTTTATTATTCCTTCAGAATCAGTGCACTTAGGGAGGAAGACTCAATTGTATTTCAACTTGGAAATTTTCTTTTTGAAATATTTTTGTTAAACTGCAGTCAAATGCAGTAGTATGAATTTAGCCAGGTTGCCCAGGGAGGTTGTGGATGCCTCAGTCCTGGCAGTGTTTGAGGCCAGGATGGATAAGGCCTTGAGCAACCTGGTCTAGTGGAAGGTGTCCCTGCCCATGGCAGGGAGGTGGGAACTAGGTGATTTTTAGGGTCCCTTTCAACCCCTTAACATTCTATGTTTCTATGCTAAACCTGAGAGTAAGATGACTGTATAGCATCTCTGTGAACGTAACTTGGTGGTTTTGAGCATTGCAAAAGAGTAACTGAAAATAAAACTAAATCCATAGAATGTATGTGTTATCTTCATTCATGTGAAAAAGTGTTCCTTTAAATCCTTAGTTAGCAAGATCTGAAAATCTGAAAATTTTTAAAAGGCTCACTACAACCATTTATATCTGAAACATGCAGTACTATTTAAGTGAGATTTCTGTTAAGGGAGTTCTCTTAGCAGTATGAAGTTGAGCTTTAAAAAGGAGTACATGTACTAAGAATAAATTAATATTAGGTGCTGTAGAACAAAGCAACCTAATGTCTTCTGTGTTTAATTTTAAGAAAATCTCTTGGAAACGGAAGGCAAGCCTTTATTTGGATCTCTACAAAATAGACAGGTATGGACAAGTAGATATTCAATATGTTTTAAACAAAAAAGTTCATATACACACACATATGTAAAACTGTTGAAATTGCTGACATCAAGATCATTCTCTGTTGAGAAATATCTTCCAAAATATTTAGATTGGTAAAGAACACTTTGGAAGAATAATATTTCTACTTACATGTGGGAGTTGATATTAAATTAATTTATTAATGTGTTTTCTGTTTGTAGAAGTAGATATGTTTTTACAATTTCATTTCATTATTATATCTATACTCTTTTCCTGTTCAACCATTTTCTCTTGCGCTCTAGCACAGTGGCCTTAAAGCATTAGTGCAGTTTGCAGCTGCTCAGAGAACAACATCACCACAGGTCCTGATTCAGAAACATCTGATTCGTCTTCTAGGAGGTATTGTATTCCTTTTATTTACCACCTTTGTATTACAGAAGTTTCTATTTCAAAATGGCATACACATTAATAAAGCATAGAAGCAAGGGTCAGACTACTTGACAAAAGTGCTAAATTCAGTTTCTCTGCCTGAAATCATGAGGTGTTGATTGAACTTAAGTAATCAGTAATTCTGTTAACTAATATCACCGAAGTCCCCAAAAAGTCCTCTATCCCAGATTACATAGGCCTAGAGATACTCGGATCTGGAATATTTACAGTTGGTTAACAAACTATATCTGGCAATGTTCAAAATTAGTCAAATTCTGTTCCAAAGAGGTGGATAAAGCCACAAACCAGGTATTTCTGTTTCAATTGTGAGATTTCATCTTCTCAGCACGAGAAGTCAGGTCCTCGGAAAGGCATTCCAGTATCTTAAGGGGGCTTATTAAAAGGAGGGAGAGGGACTTTTTATATAGGTAGATAGTGACAGGACAAGGGGGAATCATTTTAAACTAAAAGAGGGCCTTTTTTTTTTGGGGTTTTTTTTTCATCCCATCCCTGGAAGTGTTCAAGACCAGGCTGGATTGGGGCCCTGGGCAGCCTGGTATAGTGAGTGAGTGGCATCCCTGTCCATGGCAGGGGGTTTGGAACTAGATGATCTTTAAGGTCCCTTCCAACCCAAACCATTCTATGACTCGGTGATTTCTAGTACTTCCAAAAGGCTGCTTGCAGCCTAGTTTAAGATATTTTGGTCTCAGGGAGAGCTAGTTTGAGCACATAACTATCATCCATGTTTCATACTGACAAGGTTAGTATTTTGGCCTTTGTGAATGCCACTCTTGGATTTGCCTTCTATTTGGTAAGATTCTTGGGTGTAGTACTTAGGCTTTTGTATTGGGTAAGGTTGTGAGGCATCTAGTCTTACAGTGCCTAAGTACATTCACCCTTAACACCGTCTGCTTTATTAGAGCTCAAGAAATAAAGATTTATAAATCAGAATTTTGAAGATATGTGAATTAAAATTGTTAGCTGTTTGGGCATGTGGAAATAACTAAACAATCAAATAAGTGGTAAGCAATTCATTAAATACATACTTCCTTAGTTCAGAGACTTGGACATATTTTTGGTGAAAACATTGAAATGATAAAAGCTCTAAAATCAGATTCTGAGACTTCAGTTCAATCCTAAAGAAGAAAATGTGTATCAAATGTATAAATGATATCTTTGTTTTGTAGTTCTCCTACCAAACTTTAAAGTGGAGGATACTCCATCACTTTTAGAAGTAGATATGTTCCACATTTTGGTAAGCAGATTCATTTTATTCTTCATATTTTGAGCATTAATTTTTGTGTACTTTACCCTGTAGATAGTCCTGCATTATCTGTTCACTTACACGAGTCAAATGATTATACATGAGCAGCAGTCAAATGATTACATGACTGCTATATATGTTTACTTCTCGTTCTGCTATTCTTCTCATTTTAAGTCTTTTCTGTCTTGCTCTTACTAAATTTCATTCTTGCAATCTCCATCTTCTTTTTACCACCTGCATTGTTATTAAACATAAAAAAACTCCCAAGAAATGCACCCACTTGGCTTCTTTCTCTCAGTTTCCCTTTGTCTCAATTGGTATCTCATACCTTCTGATTCCTTCATATTCTCTCTTATTACCTTCTGTACTCTTCTTAGCATCTTCTTTCAGTTCTTAATACAAATCTGTATTAGTTTCTTTTGCTGTTAAAAAACCCAAACAAGCAAAAACCACACAACAAAAAAAAGCCAAAAAAACCAAACTCACCAAATAAAAATCTGTTTTGTCCTGGTTGCCTTTCTGTCTAATGCTTGGTCTCATTTCTCACTTTTTTCAATGTGCTTTGTCTTACATCAAAGAACAGAAATTAAGCTTTTTAGGAACTAGACAGCCTGTCCTGGTGTATCTCTAAACTGGCAATTACAATGGAACTATATCTGAGTTTCCCACGTGCCAGGGGGCACAAATAGTTAATACTTTCCAGTGAGTTTTTGCTACACTTTGAATTAAAACTAGCAAGATAAATTAACATATTCAAATAGACTACAGAAATGAAATATAAATGTATAGTGAAAATATAATTTCTATTACCCTTGTAGTTATTACTAAGTTTTTGTTCCTTTAGTACTTGCTTCTTCCTTTTCACTGTAGGTGGGAGCTGTGTTATCCTTTCCATCATTATACTGGGAGGATGCTGTAGACTTGCAACCTTCATCAATTAGTTCAGCCTATAACCACCTCTACCTCTTCCATCTGGCAACACTGGCACACATAACGCAAATTGTCATCTGTTCAGCAACAGGTAGATGTGTATTTGGGTTGGATTTTTCTGGCATTTTTACACAGTTTCTGAAAAATAATGGATTGACACTGATAGTGTTTTCCAGGTATCAACTTTCTCATAAGTTACAGTGCTAGGTGGTAATAACTGTTTTCTGGTAAAAAATAAACAGCACTATGTAATTTTCAGAGCATTTTATTGAGTTGCTTCTGTGTGTTTAGCCTAAGAAGATGAAACAGTTACTGATACGTCAGTACTTGCTCCAGTCAGTCATTTCAGAGGGGTAACTTTCCCCTCTTCACTCCTTGTAGGAGAAGCAAACCTCCGCCGAGCAGCATCCCTGAGTTGTGCAGTGACAGTCAGTATGCATTTAGCAAATAAATTTTTCTTTACCCTTCAACCTAGTAAATACCCAGATCTGAAATAGCAAATCCTGATAGGAGAGAATTTCACTTTTCTCTGTATTTCATAATACTGTTAAAAACTGTCAGTAACCTATAGGCTTTCTAGCTACTACTTTCCTTTTTCTTCGGCATGATGGGAATGAAAAAAAAAATTAAAATTTTTTAAAAATTCCTGTAGCTTAAGCTGTGTAGGACAACAACTTCAAAAGTTCAAGAGAAGGAAGCAGTTCTTTACCTGAGGATGAGCAATGAGGGAGTTATTCTGATTCTTCCTTATAGAATGCAGTCTTAGGAAAATATTTTTAGGCAGAAAATATTAAATAGAAGATAATTAAGCAAAATAAAGTGGAAATACTTCTGTAATGCAATAAAATAAAAGGGTTCAGTATATGTAAGAGAGAAGTGTGCCACAGTGGAATACATTTATAGTGGATTCATCTTTTTGTATGCAGAATCCTCCACTGCTTGCTCACCTGACAACAGTGAGGAGGCACAGTCTGCACAGTCTTTCTGTAGGGAGGTTTGCCAGTACACCAGTGGGTAAGTAGCAGTTCAGTTACAGCATTACATTTTCCTGGAAAGATGGCAATACACAGGGATTGACCTACACGAACACAGAAGACAGGAAAAAAATGATCCCTTTTGTATGGGGAGTTAGCACAATGCCCTGTGCTTTCTTCCCGTGTTCCTGAACACTGAAACTATTGAAAGAAACAGTTTCAGTTAAAGTAGCTACTTTTTGAGGAGAATTGAGTGAATTCTCTGTGTGAGCAGTTGATTCACACAGAGAATCAATTGCTCTGTGTGATGCTATGTTGCAGTGTTGCACAGTTTATATCAGATTATCTTGAGTAACCTAGAGATGGACAGCAATGTATTGGCTATTTATTTTTTATAATTCTGAGAAAAATATAAGTTGACGTAATTTGAAGACTTAATGTGAGTGTTGTATGTAAACTCAGTACTTATTCCTTAGGCAAAGGGGAAGTTAGGAGTTAAGTGCTGGTGGCTGTGTTTCACAGAATTTGGGGTGTTGCTGCTACACAGCTGCCGTTCTACCAAATTGTGAAAGTGCTAGAAGGATTTGCAGTGTGAACTAATGCAGCTATTTCTCATTTGTGTGTTACAGTTGCTTTAGCCAGGATATTCCAGGCTGGCTTGTGTGGGACTGTGTTAAAAAAGGCATCATGCCTTACCTTCGTTGTGCTGCTTTATTTTTTCATTATTTGCTGGGAGTTTCTCCACCCGAAGAACTACTACAAGGTAAATATGAGAAAACAAGTGTATCTACGTCTGACTGGTTACTCTTTTCTGAAAGAATTTTAAACGTTCACAATAACTTAACAATAGTCAATACATTAAAATAAGACTTGGAAGGTAAAGAATTACTAATCTGTACAGGTAGGGACAAGCATGAGAAAACTGAGTTGTCTTGGCCTTACTTGCATAGAAGAGTCTTACTTCTGAATATGTGGAAATATGTGAACTGTCAATGATGTGAGGATAGTAAGTATTTGTGGATAAAAAGATACTGTGATTTAAGGATAGTTTTATGGATTTAGATTACATCACCTGAGAAGTAGCCTGGAATATATTTTTAAAAAACCCAAACCTTTTCATGTAGTTGCTAATGATGGTAAATTCTAAAAATACAGGGATTGAGCAAAGCAAAGCCAAGAAGAAATAAAGCACGTTATAAAACTGAAACTCTTCCTTAAGGGATCCTAATTCATTGCAGATACTAAACCAAAAAATACTCTGTCTTCTGTCAAAATGCAGCAAAACACAGAATCATCAGCTATTTGGAAAGGAGGACCAAAATTGCTGTGAATAACTGAGACGAAATATAACATATACAGGAAAAATATAAAATTGATTTATAAACTGTAAAGTTTGCATTTTATTATGATATATGAATCAAAATCTCTGCACTTTGAGATATGCTATTATCCTTGGCAGGGCTATCAAAGTCTGGGACTTTGATTCTATAGGGAGGAGTCTTTCTGGTGATCCAACAATGCCATTTTCTGTAGCAGAAATCATAAATGGCTACCCAGAAAACTATTAAATTACCCCAGCTTTATGTAATCTGTTAGCACTGATGTGATATAGCAAAATTGAATATCATTGAAGGCCATAAGGATAGTGAAAAGCTAAAATGCAAGTAGAGAGATCTACTGCACTAAGATGTGTCACATATTATGCAGTAATTTAAGCAAGGAATTCTGTTATTACAGTAACTTATACGTGATTTAAAAATTACTTAATATATAAAATTTGTTTAAGCATATCCTCAGATAATCCAAATTACTATAGCTCTCATTAAGTCAGTGGTGTAACATCCAATAGTACTAGCTAGGAGCTGTGCTGAAGCTGTAGGATACATATTATTCAATGGAAAAGGGATCAGGAGACTCCTAGTTTTGAGTGAATTATTCAGCAGTGCTGGAACACCTAAACAGTTGTTCATGTTTTCTTTTTCTTTTACAGATTCTGAAGAAGGGCAATTCAAGGCACTTTGTAGTTACCTCTCTCTACCTACAAATTTGTTCCTGCTCTTCCATGAGTATTGGGACACAGTAAATCCACTGCTTCAAAGGTACTAACTGGGACTGGACAGGTCATGTTTTTCTGTTGCGATTCCCTGTGGGAATTCTGAATCAAATTTGTCAGTAAATAGCTGAGCTCAAATTCGTACTGAAGTTCTAAACGTTTGTTGTGCATAGGTACACTGAATCTCTTAAAGGCACTGAAAAACACAAAATGTTCTGTATTTTATGGAAATCCCAGTATTAAATAATTGTAGTTTAAGGGACTAGTGCTTGCAGACCTGTATGAAACCATACGGACAGAAAGAAGTTATTATAAACCTTTGCTTGTGCGCTATGCCACTTACTGTGTATTTGCCTATTTTTAATCTGTCTAGAGCAAAAATGCTGATTACATGAGCTATAAAATGAGAATATGGAAAATTAAGTAGCTGGCAGAGTGAGGCTTTGTACCTCTTCTTGCATTTCCAGTGTTTCTTCTCTGCATTTCCAATATAGACTGATGGATGTTGAAATTGGCTTAATGGTTTTAAGGTACAGTTTGAGTGTTATGTAAATTGCCATCTAGAATCATGAAATCGAAGAATGTTAAGGGCTGGGAGGGACCTTAAAAATCATCTAGTCCCAAACCCCCCCTCCATGGGCAGGGACACCTTCCACTAGACCAGGTTGCTTGAGTCCTTATCCAACCTGGCCTTGAACATTTCCATGGTTTAGGCATCTGCAGCCTCCCTCACTGTTCCAGTGTCTCACCACCCGCACAGTAAAGAATTTTTTCCCAATATCTAACCTAAATTTCCCCTCTTTCAGTTTGTGAAAGAAAGCAGCAGTAAAGAAAGCATTTGTTAAATTCTGCGTTCAGAAACTCAAGACGAAGTAAAGAGACACACCCTCTCCCCATCCCCAGCTACGAATAATCCAGCTATACTGTGTTGGAGAATATCTCTGTGTATTTAATGTGACCATTTGAGCACTTGGCTGGATTTGTAATAATTCCTGGTGCTTGGCAAAATTCTCTGACTCTTACTAGCTTTTACTGTGTTGTCGTTTGGTTGGTTTTTTTAACATCTGTTCTGTTTTGCTGTCTAGATTTTTCAATTTAGGGACGTATGGAACTGTTGACTTCCAACTTAGAGTCCATATAGTTGACCTAAAGAATTACCTACATACTATTATCAATTCCTTGTGTAGTATGTACAATTACTTATAAATTAATAAATTAACTTTCACAGATAAATTATTAAATAAGTTTGTCTTACTTGTTCCTACGTGTTTGCTCAAAGACATAATGGTGCTTCAAAGAGAACACAGAAGATAATTGCTTGTGAACATTGGAAAGTGGTCACTAGAGGCAGGGTTAGCAAATAGTTACAGTGCTTCCAATGAGAAACAGAGGTTTCAAGTAGGAGGCTACATATTTAATGTAATAGTAACAGTTGCCAAATCATCATTCAAGTTCCCATATGTTTTCTCACAGAACTTGTTTCAGAAGACTGAATTTGATGATTGTTGAGAAATGTGTTAAATGAAGCATACTAGATTGACCATCTGCTACAGTTCTTTCTCTCTTTTCCTTTTTGTAGAAATAACTTAAAAGATGTCTTAAACGTACCAATTCCTCTGTTCAGTAACTGGCCAATATCTACCATTGCTTTGGTAGACACATTTGGCCATTGTAAGCAAGCATACAACATGCAATAAACCATTGTAAAATAACCATTAGGTGATGATTGTTAAATAAAAACAACAAATTTTTTCCTATTAGAGTGTATGATAGTTATTTACACTGTGTCTTTCAGCACATATTTTCCAAAAGGTGCTATGTATTGTAGCCCACTTTCAGAACTTGAAGATGTCTGAAGGCTGCTTGCATTTAACTGTTAACACTGTTTTCACGTGTGTGATAATAATTTTAAGTGTTCTTTCACATAGGTTTTTCCTCTAGTATACAACTTTAAAGTCTTCTCCTGACACAAAAGCATAAAAAAAGCTGTTTCTCGTTGTGAGTTCTTAGCTAGACTATCAATGCTTTATCAGTGTTCTACGTTTGCTTATCACTTAGTAGTTTAGTTTAGTGATCCTGAATGTATATTTTTATGAAATGCTGTAATCTGCAAATGTTTGTTTGAAATAGGTGGTGTGCTGACCCGATGGTGTTAAGTTGTTTGAAGGGGAAAAGCATTGCAATAAGGTAAGCTTATTGTTTTCTTCTGTTTTTCACCTAGAACAGTTGAAAGAATGAAGTGCTTGTTGTGGCCAAGTTAAAGAGCTTGTGTTTTATTCTTCCTGCTCTACTACTAAAAGTACATTTATCTTTAAATGATTGTGTATTATTCCTCTCCATTGGAAATGTACAGCATTGTTAGACAAGTAATCTAGCCTGCTGTAGGAAAAACAAAAGCTAACTGAAATATGGAATGTCTTCATACCTGTAGGTTACATATGAAAATTAATTTCAACACTTTTTCTGGACTGTAGAAATGTTGAACCTCCCATGTGGAGCCTATCACTTGGGATTCTAGAACTGAAGAATTGCTCTGGAACTGCAGAAGTTTGCAGAAAGGACCGAAAGCTTCGCAGGAATTCATGGTTACTTGCTTTGATCTTTGTTATTGTCATAATAGTTCTTTTTCACTTACCCAGGTATCCTAGGAAAAGAAATCATTTAATAGAGCTTCCTGAAGACTACAGTTGCCTTCTGAACCAAGCCTCTCAGTTTAGGTAAGATGTGACATATTTAGTTGTCTTCCTAGCTGTTTTGCCACTTTTAGTGACTTATATTCTTGCAGTTACTGTAACTGGTGTTAAAACAATCCAGAAATTATTTTGTAGAAGTGAAAGCACTGTTACGGATATACTGGCCAACACTAGCACACATTCACTTTAAATCTGAAACACAACAGTAGTAAATGAAGTCACTCGTGTTTGATAAGATAGCATATAAAATTACTATAGCTTACTCCTGGTCATTTTTCTCCAGTGCAATTTGGTTTGGCCATAGGCCTGAAAATTATTTTTTGCACTGGACGCAACAAGCCCAGATGATTGGTACTGTTTTATGCCAAAAAGAGTGAATCATAGGATAATTCAGGTCAGAAGGGACTTCAGCTGATTATCTAATTCAATCTCCTGCTCAAAGCAGATATCTTGCAAATAAAATATTTTAAGCAATATAAAAACACAGCCCAAAGAGGCAGATATGTGAAATGATTATGACATAGTTTGTCTTAGGTTTTTGTTTGATTGTGGGTTGGGGTTTTTCGTTGGTTGGCTGGGTCATTTTGTTTTTTAAGGAACATTATCCATAGTTAACATTTCTTTTAACATTTTAATTCCTGCTGTAATGTTCTGGTTACACTTCTTTTAGATGTCCACGGTCTTCTGATGATGAACAAAAACATCCAGTATTGTGTTTGTTCTGTGGGGCTATGTTGTGTTCCCAGAATACTTGCTGTCAAGAACTGGTGAATGGAGAGGAGTTGGGAGCCTGTACTTCTCATGCTCTTCAATGTGGAGCTGGAGTCTGTATGTTTCTCAAGTAAGTAGCTGGCCAGAATTTAATGTGTTAGAGAGTAAAGAGAAATATTTGAAGTTCAAAAATCACAATTTGTCAAAGCACTTGATTCTTTTTGTCTGAGATGAAGAAGCATTGCTTTGATCTAAATTATAGCTCACCTAAAAAGTGAAGGATCTGCTTGGAGTTGTGTTTTAAATGTAGCTTTTTTTTCCCTTAAGAATCAGGGAATGTAAAGTTGTCCTTATTGAAGGTAAAACCAGGGGCTGCTTATACCCTGCACCTTACTTGGATGAATATGGAGAAACAGATCCGGGTCTAAAGTAAGTAAATGTTTAACTTTCTGTATTTCTATTTTTGTATCTCTTTCTTTCTTATACCCACTGGACAACATGTTCTTCCTGCTGTCATGTACAGCACTGTAATACATGTCTTGGCCTGGTGAACTTGATTGACTTCAAATTCCTGATGGCAGTTTCCAGTAGTGAATGGATAGTTTATAATGGGAAAAAGCAATTTTTGGTACTGTTAAACTTTCTTACTTTTCTGAAGAATACTTTGTATGCTGTTCATCAGTAACATGCAACAACTGCTATTGCTGAAATGTCATCTTGGAAATGACAGTTGTTGCTTGTCACACGTAGAATTTTTTTTACATTTCCAGTAGACTTGTTGGAATTGGTGTTCATACGAGTATTTAATATAGTCTAGTGTTAATGTTAGATTATTAATGGAACAGTTTGCAGTTGCTATTTTTATATGCTAACTGGTTATTCTTTTTTCCTTCTATGAAGAAGAGGCAATCCCTTGCACTTATGTCGGGAGCGTTACCGGAAGCTCCATCTGCTATGGCAGCAACACTGCATCATAGAGGAGATTGCCAGGAGCCAAGAAACTAATCAGATCGTCTTTGGATTCAACTGGCAACTGCTCTGAGTCTCTTGATTTTTAGTGAAAACTCTTACCTTTGGCAGTGCTTTGGAAAAGGAAGGAAAGGAGGGTGGCAGTAAAAAAAACCTACTCAAGTGAATTCTGTAGTTCAGACACAATTGGTGGATTCTCTAGGTTGGATGTATCACTGATATAATGAAACAGAATCTCATGTCATATGTTTTCCTTGTATTTTTTTCTCCTTTCTAAAAGGAAAACCACATTCAGTAATTATTACTGAACATTCATGTCCAGAAATATTTCCACTTTTTTCAGAAGTTGTAATTATTTCATGTATTTTCATGAGGACAGCTTCCCAAATGCTGTGCTTCGGAGCACACACCACACTTCTGTCTCTTCCATGCCTTGAGAACATACCAAAATGGTGTTGCCAAGGAAAAGCCTCCTTTACTTTCTCTCTGGGTTCTTTTCCCAAGCTTTAAATAGGTCAAGATAATATTGGAGTGGAAGTGGTGCCAGGCCTTTAGTCATCTGTAGCAACAGGTAAAATAGAGAGTAAATTTTACAGAAATAGTCTGCATTCAGCTATACACTGGGATTTAATGAAGAGTTTTCATTAATGAATTCTTCAAATGAGAAGTATGGGATAGAAAGTGCATGGTGGGAATTACCATCTTGCTTGTTGCATCAAAAAATTAAGTCTGTGCTTTTTGCGTTGCCAGAACTGCACTTCCTATCTAAAGAATTTGTCCTCTATTAGTGTTGTATATCTTAAGAGGTCTAGGGCTACAGTATTTGGCTAGGTTGTGGTTAGTTTTACTTTTTTACAGTTTGTTTTCTGAGGTTTTCCCCAAGAATCAAAAGTAAAAATACTGCTGCTGGGTAGTTGTAGTGTAGCTCTGCAAGTTATACAAGAGCCAGAGACTTCAGTAAGGTAAATGACCTTCAAAGCTATCACTGGACTAAAATAAAGTCCCGGAAGCAGCAAGTTTTAGAATCAGAAATAAGTTTGCTCATATTTGAGGGGGTTTCCACTCTTCATCCTCTGTTACTATTGTTTGGAGCATGTTTTGGAGCCTGCATAAATGAAATGGTGTGTTTTGGGGAGCATGTTCAGTGGTTCAGTGCCAGGTAGAGCAGAAAAGGGAAAAAAAGGTGGCTAAGTCTGTTTCTTTGCCCTCCAGTTAATAGCACATTGTGATTGAACTCTCTCTCAATGATACGTTATTTTGCTTTAGTTCTAAATGTTTGTTCTGTTTTCTGAATTTCAACCCTAATATACATGAGAGAATTTTTAATGTGATGGGTAAAAATGCTTTCCCAGGAAATACCATTTCCATGTGAAAGTCTGAAGTTTTCATTACCCTAAATTTCCCTGCCTCTTTGCTGTTTGGATTCTTTTGTGCCATTTTAATAAGACTTTCAAGGGGAGGTTTTCAAATTAATGTCTGAGAGCATGTTTTTGTATGATGTCTTTTTCATTTTGCCACGATTGTATGTGACATGGTAGAATCACAAATAATGATTTAGATTTAAATATTCTTCTCCTGTTTGGTTTTTTTTTAAAGCTTTTTGAGTATGTATGTATAAGTGCACTGAACAGCACCATAAGTAATCTAAAAATGGAATACCAATGAACTCAAATATTGTTCTAGTTTCAAATACTTCTTAAAAACTTTTGCTGTAATCCTTCCCTGGTGATACAAAAAGTTGGCTTCGGTATATTTTTAAGGTATTCTGTTTCTTGAAATTAAGACCCTTCTCCTTATTTTGATTCTATCAGATTTTAAACCTGAATATTAAACTCTTTGAAGACAAACATTAATTCTGTTAGTCTTCACATACTGAATTTAGAACAGTTGTCATGAAAACTTGCATGCACTGGTGATTTTTATGTCATCAAAACACTTCTTACCAACAAAAACATTGAATTAATACTAGCAGATGTATGCCTCATTGATACCAAGCTGTATTCTCTTACTGTTTCCCTCTGATATTTACTAATTCATTTATCAAAAATTTTCAGTTATCTCGCACTTCACTGATACAAAAATTCCATTGTCAAATATGCAGTGAGATCACTTTATTTTGTTTTCTGTCTGAACTGTAGTATATAAGAACAGGAGTTGGTATGAGCAGGTGAGCTTGTTTAAAGCTCTAGAAACCTCTTTGTAGCTGAAGAAGTGGGAGAAGAAAGTTGCATCTTTCTGCACGTTTGCACATACTAATTTAGCAAATGGGCTCCCATATCATTCATGGACTAGTGTGGTCATCTTTCATTTCATAAATTACTATGCAGTTTTGTTCACTGTGAGTATAATCTGTATTTAGTGATTGCAAGATGCTTATGCCACTGATTTCTGTTCCATCCAAGCTGACAGGAGTTATTTGATAATGCACATACTTTAATTGCAAAAATGTAAATTTGAAACTTGTATAATGTTCTTGTGCTTTTGAAATAAAATATCTTGTATATGTATATTTAAAAAAAAAAGAAATAAAGTAACTTCTCGTAGATTATTCAATTTTTATTTGACACCTCACAGTTCTTTTTACAAGAGCATCATAGCGGTGTCTGTCAGTATGAAAAAGGAGAAGGGTTAGTAAATGGTTGGTAGACAATACCAGTTACTCCTGTAGTCTGTATAATTTTTGTACCATTAGGAATGATGCCGTGCTTTTTGTTATGTAAAGAAATACACTACTTGAAACTTTTCCCAGTATTTTGTAGATGCAAATTCCTTCAGTGTCTACCTCAATTTGTAAAATAAGTCTTAAATGCAGAATTTAATATTTAGATGTCCTAAAACCATTTAGTTGAGTGATTCTGGTTTTGTATCTTGTCAAATAAGAACTGTTTGTCAGAACAACCTCTAGAAAGGGAAGCCTTGTGGTGTTGGTATAGTGTGCTGTGTGATACATGTTAAAAAAAAAAGATGTTTTATTATAGAGCTAAGCAAACAAGAAATCTTTCACATAGAAATGGCCAGTACTTCTTGCCCCTTTTTATGTTACAGGCTGCTGACTGTCATCACATCCTCTGCTGTTGTAGCTTTGGGCACCATTAAGCTTACAGAATTTGGGTGTTGATGGTGTTGCTCCTTATGCTTATTCTTAGTAAAGCAAATGTGTTTAAGAACCAATTCCTGAAAAGGTAAAAGGTAGAGGAAGATAAAGTCTACTAATAAAAATGTTCTGAAGAATATTAGAACAAGAATCCTGTTAATTAGGAAAAAAAAAGAAAAAAGCCACAGCACTATTTCTTGCATAGTAAAAATCTTAGTGTACAAAAAATATAGAGGAATATTTTGGCCATCCTGTACTTTGTTTTATGGTTGAAATACGCTTTATTTTCTAGCCAATATCATTGAATAATCTCCATTGTAAACTAGTCAGATTCATGATACAACATTTAAGTTTGTTACTTAGATTCTTCTAACCTATTACTTAACAAGATCTTCAAAGACACTTTTTTAAAAAATGGAAGTTGTTTCATTTCTGTGGCACAGATCTCTTCTGTTAGTTTTCATGAGTATTTTGCAAGTAGGCTAAGTTTGAGGGTTGATACAGAAAACAAATGACTAATAATGAAAATCCACTCCTATACAAGTCTCTCAAATCTTGTTATTCCTAATCCTAGCTACATTTCTCTAAACTTACGCAGCTTTGCTTTTGACCGTACTGAATATAAAGGAAATGTGCGTTGAAGGAGAGCGAGCTGAAATTCCAAGGGATTATATACATGATTTCATGTAGTGGTAAGTAAGAGGAGACGAGGTATAAAGTAAACATAAAACATTAAAATGGGACCTGAGAGTTTTCTTTTCATTTCCTTGTGGCTGTTGCTCATGAGATCAGTCTCAAACAACTTGCAGTCCATCAGACTTAATTTTAGGAGGTTTTTGGGCTTCATGCTTGAGTGAATAAGCTGCAGCAAAATGCTGTGAAGCACAAAGTGGGGGCTGTGGATTTTATGATTGTTTTGAGTCCTTGCTATATTTCTGAAGAGCTGTGGTTAATCTTTTTCAGTAGACTGCAGAACCTTTTGTTTCCTCCTTCTTAAGTGTGCATAAAGTGTAATGTTGGCCTCTTGAGGTGTGTACAAGTGTAGAGATGCAGGCCTAGAGCTCAGAGAGAGCTCATCCCAATGTATCAGAGTTCCTGCTTGAGCTGTGTTCAGTGTTCATTTTAACAAAACTCTAAACGTGCTACATTTTTATATTTCTTGCTAATTATTTTTTCTTTACAATCAATGTAGAGCAAGTGTTTTCAGTGGTAATCAGAAAGCTTTAGAGTATTGTAATTGCAATTTCTGTAGGAGCTGTCATAGTGCCTTCACCAGAAACTGAACATTACAGTGTTTATCTTATTTTGTTTTAATTAAGAACTTGATAAAGAAAATAGTGAATAAAGAAAAAAGGCATAGATGAGTGCCTTACTCTGGAAGTTGCTGTATTGTTATTAATTCTGACTGGATTAAGCATTGATAATAAGTAGGATAAGAAGTGTCCCTCAAGTTGTATTTATTTCTGTATCTGAGCATATGCCCTGGCTTAAAGGCTTGGCTCGCTAATGCCGTCTTTGTCTTTAACAATTACAGGGAATTAAGGTGGAGTCTGTGCTGCTACCTGAGCTTGTTGTCTTGATCCAGTGGCTGTGATGTTAAATACTGCAGGAAACCCCAACTATTGTGACAGGTGCTGTAAAGAAAGCTGGATATATAGGGTGCACTTCCAGATGCTGGGGAAACCAATAAATACAAAGCAAAGAAGAGAGCATTTATTAAGAAAAGTAAATTTTATCCTGATTACTGTGAAATGAGCTATCATCTTTTTGAAATGTGTCTGTATTGATGGAGACTCTGAATACCTGGATAGGATAGAAATAAACAATTTAATGAGTTAAGTAATCACTGGTAACAGGCCAGACAAGGACTGTTCCTTGTGAAATGTATTCTGAAACTCAGTAAATTTCAAAAGCAACCACATTCCACTCTGCAGTTTCTGGCAGTTGGCTGAGAGATGAAGGTTAACTTGCTAAATGCTAACTAGTCTTTTAGAGTAAAATGTGTTTTTCTTCATATGCAAGTAAATGAGCTTGTGCAGGGGCCAGGGAAGATGTGTAGCTGGACACTTACACCTCTGTTCTTCATGATAATGTTTTACATCAACTACTGCTTGACATTTCTGTGTCTATAAAGAGATGCTCAGGCTGGATGATCAGTTCACTCTTCCTTCCAAATCTGTCTTTTCAGAGCAGATTCTTGACAAATTCGTCAACTAGAAAGTTATCAAAAGAGTAAGTTCACTGTTCTTGTAATTCTGCAAGTTAAGACTTGACCAAGAGATTTTTAAGTGGTGCAAAATGTCAGGTGTCATCTGTTTCTACAGTTAAATGTGTTTTGCCATTAGGAAATATTGAAATGTTTCCTAAAATACAAAGTAAGATTTTCTTTCTTTATGCTCTCATATCCTGATTTACAACCATTTTCATCATGCTGAACCATTCCTCTCTTTTTTAATTGTTGAAAGCATTTTATTTTTTAGAATTTGCATATTCTTAGATCTCTTGATTCAGTTTTTTCCTAATTAAAAAAAACTCTACAGGAGTAATTTCTGTTTTTCTCCGGGTTATTTCTGATTATCTTACAGCTTTTGGTTATTGAGATCTGTTTTTCCAAATGTAGATCAACTAGAATTGTTTTGAGGAAGTGACTGTTATTGACTGACACATGGCACTTAGCATACTTACCTGAAGAAAAATATACTGCATTTAAAAAAAACCCCATATGCTATTGGGAAATCTGATTAATTTGCAGTATATGACTGTCTTTTTCCTTGATCTCTCAAGGAAACTGTATTAATTCTTTTCCAGTCTGTATCAGCTAATTATAGAGCAGCTGGTAAGTATTTTTGGCTCTCAGAAGTGGCTGAGGGAATTATGCACCAGTTAATTTTTAATTCCACACTGGGCAAAGTGATTGCAATGAAGACTAGAAGTATAGACACATAGGTAAATGCAATAAAGGGAAGAGTTAACGGCTCTTGTGGAAGGTAGTCTCAGCTTACAAACCTAGTTCTTTGAAGGAGTTTTAACATACTTAGGCATAGGCCTCAAATGTTAAGCAGTGAAACAGTTGCATTTGAAATGATGGTCATGCATATAGCTTGCTTGAATTGCACTACAGATCATTACATTGCACAATTTATTTAAAATATATCCTTACAGTATAATCCTTGCTTCTTCTAGTGTTACAGAATACAACAGTTGTTAGGTAAAGGAATTTTTACTGTTACTTCTGCACAATTTCAAAAGCAGGAATAGTTCTGCTTTGAATATCCCAGTGATATATCTTCTTTTACTTGACTTTCCACAAAGAATGCACTCACAGCAGTAACAAGTAAAGTACTTTATTGTCTTTTAACCTCTATTTTGTATCGAAATGTTTTTCCTGGTTACTACTAATGATGAATTAGTGTCATAGGGCATCCTGTAACTACAAGTGTCTTGGGCATTGAAGGCTTTCACTCCATGCATTAACAAAGTTCCTGAGCACTGTACTAGGAGTGTGATGGGAGAGCTGTCAGTCTGACTTTGCCTTCATTGATTTCACATAGTCCCTTATCTTCCTGCCCCTGGATCAATGTGTTAAGTACTTTTGAAATGAGGAGCTTGTAAGCATCTAGGATCATCAGTGTTTGTTTTAGGGGAAGTATCTACTTGTTTTTAAACTAGGGCTATCATGTGCTACTTGGAATTTCAAATATCCTTGGAGGATATTTCAAATATCCTTGTCAGTTTTCTTAAGCAGAGAACTCCTTTCAGCAGTACCCTTTGACTTACAGGGAGGTGTGGCAGCTGGCTTTCCGTAGACTGTGGAGGGGGAAAAATGAAGACATACTTCAGACTTTTTGGGAAATATAAATGAAATACATTACGGTAACTTTCATTGCCTTCAGTTTTACCTAGCTAGTAGGTTCTGTTAGAAGGGCTGCAATATAGGTACATTTCAGCTAAAAGTTCCCCTCTCCTGTCTTGGACTAACAGAGCTTTCATTTCAGTTTTTGTCTTTTTTGTAAAGAATCTTTTTATCAAGTGTAATGATTTCTTTGGGGATTTCCTTTGCTGGAATTTCTGTAGGTGTAATGACAATAAGGACAAACTTTGGTACATATAAGACTAATTTGTATGTTAGTAGATGTAGACCCATCCTCTCTGGAACATTTGCTTGTGCATAGTGATTACTCTGGCATGTTCAGACCATGATAAAATTCTGTAGGTAAAGAGAGAAAGCGGGAAAAATTCCAAAAGTTTTGTGCAGTGTTGAAAATCAGGGATTTCACAAGTAAAAATGCATCCATCCAAAGAAGTATCAGCATTTTTGGAGCTGTCACCCGTCTGTGGTTTGTTCAATTGTCTTCGTTTTTTTTCCCTTTTTACCCCACCAGTGAAAAACCTGGTAACTGTAGGACTGTAATACAGCAAAGTTCAAACCACTACGCTTGTGATGTCATTCCTTCAAAGGTTTGCCTACCTAGCTGCAGGGATAGATTTTGTTGAAACATTGGTTTTGCCACAGTCTGTGTTTTGAACATTAATGTTAGGGTCATTCATGCCTGATACAGTGGAGATCTGGTTGGCTTTGCCGAGGTTCTTAATGATACTGATGTTGTATTTGGCAGTTTCCACAAAACTATTTTCTAGTAACCAACCATCTGATTCACCCTCCAGATCTCCGAGCAGAAGGACATTCTTCATGGCTGTTTGTAGGTACCGAACACCAATAAGTACACAGAGCTGTAAGAAATAGTTAGGGGTTAAACAGCAAGTTTAACAGCCTCAATCCTACCACTAAGTCAGCTTTCTGACTTGTGTATTTACAGGCCTCATAACTAGTATTGAGTAAAGCAGACAAACTCTGTCCCAGCAATATATCTAACCACTTTCCCAGTTAATTGCATTTTTTTAGAAAGAAAAATACAAGGGAGAGATGGATTGATTCTCTCTTTGTTCTTCAGGTAACAATCCCCCTTGCATGTTACTAGCATAAAAATATATAGAATTACTCGGGAACCCTGCAGCCTCAGAGACTGCAACTAATTGATGTAGAATGGATGATCAATTAGTAGAACCATCAGCCATTGGGAAAAAAAAATGTACTATGGTAATTTCCATGGCTTTTTTTCCCACTGACCTTGATTAAATCGATAGTTCCTCCAAGGAGGTTTAATCATTCATATGTAAGCCATATGTGTCCAACATGCCAAGGTATGAAAATTAAAAAAGGATGGCCTATAGCAGAGGCTCAAGTATAAGTTTTGGAAAAAGCCCTGCTGTCATAGTTTTTGTCACAATCGAGATCAGCGTGCCCAGCTTGTCAATATTTAAGGGAGCAGAGAGAGCCAGTTTGCAGGTTTTTTCACATGCTGCCAAAGGCCTGTTATTTCTGGCACCACCACCAAGCACTGCTTGAGGACTGTGAACTATTTTAATTACAGTCCTAATATTTATGTAATGGAGCAGTAATCAGAAAACTAAAACTTATTAAAAAGGTGAGAAAACTCTATTGTAGCCTGTGCCACTGGGGGGTCCTTTACTTGTGGAAGACAACATCCAGACAACTCTCATCAGCAGGAAGACTGCAGCTTTCCAGGGGTGTATGCTTCCTTGTGCTGTGCTTATTTTGATTGCATTATCAGCAGCATAATCAGTGCCATATTTGCAAGTACTGTTTATATGGTGAATATATAATGTAAAAAGGAGGCTTTGAGATATTAATACTTAGGCTCAATTTTAACTATAAACAAAATTTTTCTATTAAGCCAAAGACCTGCTCGCATTTTGTATATTCTTTGCTAAAACTGAGTTAAAACAACCCCCAGACCTTCTCATGTAATTTCCTTGCAGTTGTGTCAGTGCATATATTGTCTTGTATCGGATCCAGTAAGTGCTTCAGTGAAGAAAATATGTTGTATTGTATTGAAAAAGCTCTGTTAATATACAGAATTATATACATAATTCCTGATAGTCCTCAAATTCAACGAGATTTGCTTCTGCTTTGTGGACTTTGGGAAAGTCCTCTACTAAAGGAAGTCCTGCAATATTCCTGAAGTCCCTGTGGACTTTGGTTGCTGAGGCACTTCTCACGTTACACCATATTTGTTTCCTATCCTATAGAGACAGAAGACTCTGATTAATCTGACACAGATCATTTTTGTGAGACTTACCTCAAACAACCAAATAAGCAATGCTGCAATGCCAATTGATCGCATAATAGTGGTATAGTAATCCAGCAGGGCCTCTCGGCACCCCTTCACCCAAATATTGAGCTCCTCCGTCAGAAAATCATAGTTGTAGTGAGCACTGTTGTTGGTCAGCTGGTACTGGATGCAGGGCCGTGGGGAGCTGGGGTTGCAGCAGCTGAAGGGTACTCCATCCACCAGGAACTTCCCATCAACATTGCTCTTTAGACGGCTGCAACAGGACAGAAATTTCGGGCATTACAAAAGTTGTGTCATCAGCAGGCGGTGCCTGTGATTTTAGCAAAAGAAATAATGCAAGTCTGCAATGTAGGCCTCTCCAATGTAACAAAAGGAAAATGGGGATATATTTTCAACTGGAAAAGTTGCTTACTACAGGAAAATGGAATTTTTAATGGTCTATATTTAAGTATAAGCACCTCACCTGGTTTGTGGTACTGTGCCACAAGATGTGAGTTCAATGTTCACGGAGATGTTGCCTTTTAAAGTATCTTTGTGCTGAAAATACTAAAGACAATTTCTGAAGCTGTTTAGCTTGGTGAAACTCTAATGGAAGTTATGTCCCTGCAAATCCTGTTTTGTTACTTCTGCATTGATTTTCAATTCAGTCATTCCTTAGGAGAGAACGTAATACAAGAATAACTTTCCATACCATGAGAACCACTGGAAATTGTCTGCTGGCCTTTCATCACTGTACCCATTGCAATGAAACTAATTCACAAGCGAGTTTCTGCTTCTTGAAACTATACTTTTTGTAACTTTAAAAATAGTATTGATTGCTAAAAATTATTCCTTTCCCTCCCCCATAAGATCAGGAGGAAAACATGGGGAAAGAGGAAAGATAAAATAGGAATAAGAAAAAAAATGGAAATGGGATAGGAAGAGAACACAGTCTCGGATTAATCATGATTTTCTGGAACAGTTAAATGAATCTGTGATATCTGTTTTCCTTGTATTACCTTCTCTTTAGCATGAAGTCTTTAGTATTTTCAGCACAAGGATACTGCTTGGAAACAGAAGTCCACACAATGACTTACTAGTTAAAGAGAAGTACTTTCAAATGAAACATAAGCTTCTAGGAAGCTCAGTATTTGTGGCAGTGCTTTGATGGCAAAATAATTGCCTTTATTTTATTGCTGTGAGCCTGCTAAATACAACCTCCTTTCCCCCCCCCCCCCCCCCATTTTTCTTCTTTCCTCTATTTTTCCTTTTTTTTCCTCCCCTCCTTTTTTTTCCTCCCCTCTTTTTTCCTTTGTTTCTCCTCATCTTTTTTCTCTTTTTTATTTGGGTGATGGTGTGTGTTTTATTTTGTTTACGGTACTCTCAAAACCATCTTTCTCAAAGATCTTTCCAAATAAGTCAGCAAGTGCATCTGCCATTTCTCACCTAGGAGTGAGATAGGCATGAATTCCTCTCCATTTTCAAGTCTAGCTCTTCACTTTGCAGCCATCACATTTCTAGTAATGGCAGCAGAATGAAACCAATGCAAAGAACCCAAATAATGCACTGAAACTATACTGAAGTGCATGAGCCGTGTCATGGGCACAGGCAAAACCATGTGCTGAAAGGGAAATAAGGAACGGAGTCAGAGAGGCACAAAATGGAAGACTTGAATGCTGGAGGAGACAAGAAGACTCAGAGGGAGGAGAGGAAGACTGGCACATTATGAAAGGGAAGCTTATATCTGGATCAGGAAAATGCCCTCTGTATGTTTAATGACCCAGATACAGTACAGCATCTAAAATGGATAAAATACAATCTCTTAAACTGGGTCTTAACCTTTTCTTTTGATCCCAAGCATCAATTCAACTTTTTTTTTTTTATTCTTCCTGCCGTATGTTATAAAGGGGAATCTTCTTTCTAATGCCAACAGCATCAGTTTCCAGACTTCCAGACTGGGTTATGTCCTCCTGCGATTGTGTTTTCTCTGTCAGTAGCAAATTAAAGAATGTTGGTACTGTTAGAAGGTAAGACCTCAGTGACTGAGCTGAGTGTGTGAGGCATTCACTGCTGTTTGTTGTTGCAATTCGAATTTGTTATGGTATTGTCAAGTAAAAATTTACTTTTAAGACTGAAAAAAAAGATGACTTTCACCTAACAAAAGCAATGACAGGATTGTACCGCTGTAACCTGCCTCATCTTCCGACCATTCCCATTGACTGTCTCCATGCCTTGTCACATCGAGGTGTTGGCAGTGGAGCTATAGAAGAGAGGGGAGGGAAGAGGGTCATGAGGAAAGGTGAAAAGTTCAGTTTTACAAAGGTTACATGTAAGTTGACAGTATGTCAGTTCTCAGCTGCTTTGCCTCTTAATCTACCAACTGACATACAATACAGGTTGAAACCAAAAAAAAAGTTTGATTCCTTCTCCATCCTTTCTGAACATTACCAGCTGGGCTTTGCTTCCAATGATTTCACATTAATTAAATGTTTCACTACCAGACTTTTAGAAATCATGGTATAATGTGGTTATACAGCACCAATGATGGCAATCCAGATGAAATTTAGCAATTTATACACGGCAAAAAAAGTTCTGAAATTACTTCCCTCACACACATTTCACTGTCACCTTCTGCCCAAGTGGGACAAAAATTAACTGACAGTGTATTCTCAAAATAATTTGCAGAGCACAGGTGACCCTGCAGAAGAAAACAGTTAAGACCCTGGATAAAACATTACTGTTTCTGCATGCCTCACAGAAACAAAAGGCAGTATATTTTACTTTTGAACCTCACAATAAGATACTACTCTTCAGTTCTTTGTTGTCATGTCACTTTTCAGTGTGGAACCAGGATTGAAAACATCTTGGGGTCAGTCTGTTCTGTGTGATACTTCCTAACTTCTCTCTTGAGAACACTTGTAAATCTTGCTTTATTTCCACAGACAACTGTCTTATGCACGCTGATAACCTCTTATCTGTATTCCCCTAGGTCCTGCACTCTGGCATATTTGCAACTCTGTGTATACACTTTGCTATGATAGTAGTTTCAAGTTGCAAATTCTGATAAAATAAGATCTTTGGCCTCCCTTTCTCTGCCTTTATTGTCACCGATTTTTGAGTTCAACAAAACAAAGCGCTTGACAAATGCCAGTCAAACTCTTTGTGTTTGTCTTTCCAAGGAATACAAAGCTACTACACTCTTGTCAGTGAGGACTTTTTTCAGTTTTAGAGGAATTATTACATACTAAATTGTCTACTTACATAAATTTTAATTGTTACTTTTTCTATCGTCTGTAAGTATTACCAGACTCTTCTTTTTGAACATATAATTCCACAGTTGCTACATCATGTGAAGCACTACCACCAAAAAAAAAAAAGGGTTTTTCTCCTTTTTTATTCAGTGTATGAGGTGTTTGGCACTTTCTCACATGTGAACATACAGATTTGAACTTGGCTTTGCAGAATCTAATACCTTGAAGGAGAAAGGTCTTTCAGTGTTTAGGATTGACTGTGCAATGTATTGATAAAACAATCCTATTTTTCTTTCCATTATCAGCTCACTGTAACTGAAATAAAATTTTTGAGGTAGCTAACTCACCACATTAAAAAAAGGAAAGATACATCTTTGGTTTGCTTAGCATCCCTAAAAGGTTAGCAAAAGGCAACTTTTGACTGTGCGTGTAGTTAGCGTATTCTGTGAGTAATGTGGTCATTCTGCAGGTTTTTTGATTAAGATACAAAGGTCCAGTAAAAAGACTTTGCCTTCTTGAATGAATTTTTCTTCTAGAATTTTTTGTTATGACTAGTAAATACTTACTCTTGAACCTCCTTAGAAGCCATATTCAGATAACGAGGAGATACCCACTGAATTTCAAACCAGTCTCTAAAGCCATTGTTTCCACAGCAATGGAATCCAATTTGTAACAAATCCACTGTTTTCTTTAAGAAACATCGTCCAGGAATGTCTGTGTCTTTATAGAACTTAATAGCATCCCTCAGTCCCAGGTAGAGAGACTCTTCCAGCTCATTCTTCATGGTGTAGCACATGACAGCACCCACCAGGATGCAGAAGGTAAAACAAAAGGTACATACGATATATGGCAGCATAACAAGTTTCCATCGAGAGAACTTGTTGGCATCTGAGCAGTCATAGCAGATTTTTCCACCCAGAAAGTTGATGATACATGCTATGACCCCCACAGAGATCAGCATGTTGGGGACAGAGTTAATGTCCCCTTTTGCCATCACTTCATTGCGCTTCTTGATCTCTATTTTCAGAAAGAGGCCAAGACTGAAGAGAATGATCCCGCTCACTACAGAAACCCAGTTGAGTATCCATAAGATCTGGGCCAATTTGTCCCTCTTAGTTTTGGTGAATTTTACTTTGAGGACAGCCATAGTCAGATCAGCATTAGGAAAAGAAGCGTAGGTCAAGGGAAGCTCGTAAGCTGATTAGGGGCATGTGTCCAAGGCATGCAGTAGAAATCTGAAGAAGAGAGAGAGAGAGATTACCATCTGTTTGACCAGGTATTTATAGAGACTACAGAGAACTTCCTGTGCAGCCTCACGCACTCTCAGTCCTGCCCAGGGAGTGCCCCAGTGAAATTTATTGCTTAAATTTCATACACTTAAAAAAAAAATGAAATTCTAAGGACCAACTAGAGCAATTGAAAACAAGTGAACAGTACAACCAATGACTCTAGACTGCTGTGGAGTTTTGTCAAGGGCAATTTTCTGTGCAGGCCTTCTGATGTCTAGAAGTGAGCTGGGCTGCTGACTTTCCTTCTAGAACACTCACAGTATTTTTTCCCTTGAACTTGTTGCCTGTATTTTCTTGACAATCATAGGTTCTTTATTATTCTTAGATCACCGTATTATGGCCAGGTTTGTGTTAAAAAGTTGAATAAGCAGGACAAACACAAATATATACAGCACAATCACATAAGCCTTGTTTCCCTATAGAAAAAAATGCGAAAGTAACACCAGAAATACAGTATCCTATGGGTAGTTTTAGTAATTTCATTTATTATGTGCAGTAAAATGTGATTTTGCTAGCAAAAAGCAAGTATTATCCCTACACATACAGTACTAAGATATGATCACTCTGGCAAAAAACTGCAGGGGGAAAACTACTGCAGTTATCAACACAGACAAAATGTTATACAAATAGTTAAACTATCAATGACTGTGCTGGTTTTGTAGAAAATATTATCAAAATTTTATTAACTTTTAAGTGTTATGACCTGAATATATTTTTGGTGAACATCCTCCACTGCATTTTTCCACTTCATCTGGCATAAAAGCACTACCATTTTTATGTGAAGTAACAAATCACCCTACAAAAAAAAGCAGAACATCTTCACACCTTAAGAAAAAAATCAGTTTAGGATGTTCTATTTTTTCTCTATCTGATAGACCTCCCTTTCTTTCTGAAAGTTCTTATTAAAAACAGTTCTTGGAATAGCATGATGTATTAAATAAGGCCTATTTAATCTTCAGGGAATCTCCATTACTGTCTTAACCTCTGCTCCTGCAGCTGAAGTTGCTTGTTCTTTGTCTTGAGAACTGTGACAATCACACCCTAATCCAACCCTCCTACCACCAACCATAGAGTGGTTTTCTTTCCGAGCCCCCCATATTCCAGTCAGAATCCTAAATGTCATTCCCACACAGAATGAGATGAATGTTGATTTTGATCACAGTGTGATAATCATGTCAATGATAGACACCTCTGTGCAAACAAGTCCAGAGAATAGTCATTTATAAAACTATAACACTTTCTTCACACCATTCTTCTACAGTATCTTTCAGACTTTATTTGAAAGGATCATGCTCTGCTGGCACAGAATTAAGCCCCCATATGAATTCAGCTGACAGCCTGCCTGATAAGCCCGGAGACAGTATCTTTGATTGCTTCACCAGTTAAGCAGTTCGTGACTTGACCTTAAATAGCTGTAGATGACAGCTGCTAATAGGTTTATTTGCCCCTGATACTCAGGTCTTGGAGCTCACAACAGAGAGAATCTGTTTTGAAATTCCCTGACTGCTGCTATGCAGTTGATGTGCCATGGCCAGCATATATGAATGAATGCATCACACACTGTTTGCTTCTATGAAATATATGTATGTACTTGCAAAATGCCTCTTAATTGTTAGGCACACATATAGTTAGTTACGTGTCACTGAAAACACCCTACTTGCCAAACATATTTTGCTTTAACATTTCAACAAAAGTTGTAAACAGTTTTACCTTTACTTAAAATTCATCTGCTCAAGAGGCATTGTTGATTTTGGAAGACGTAAATTTCACAGAATCACAGAATATCCTAAGTTGTAAGGGACCCAAGTTCAATCATCCAGTCATACTCCTGGCTCTGCACAGGACACCTCAACAATCCACCTATGTGCCTGAGAGCACTGTCCAAATGCTCCTTGAGCTTTGGCAGGCTTGGGGCCATGATTACTTCAGAGAAGGCACGAGCTTCTCCAAGCTCATGGAGGGTCCCTGTGGCATAAGGGGAGACTGAGGCTCAAGTGTAAACCTGAGTTTAGCAGACCATTATCCTCCTTCAGGGGAAAGTTTTAGCTGTTTGTTACTGCAAACTGGGAAGCTTTTTAATTTGAGACTTTCTGTCATATTCTAACCATAGAGAAATTTGAAGCTGAGTTCCATAAGCAGGGGTACATTCGCTCTCACGTAGCTATTCTGATGTAGCTCCCTCCCCCATTTTCAGATGCCTAAAATTAAAAAAACAAAATTCTGTGCAAGAGAAACTCTCCTAGTAATTCCTTGCTTCCAGTAATTCTCATATGGTTTTTCCAGATTCCTTGGTGCAATTTTAGTATTGTTGTAAGACCAGATTTCATGAAATATTCACATTTATCTAACAGAGGTACCCACACCAGAGTCCTCCAGCAGCATAAGATCATATGAGCCCTAGTGCCAGAGGAAGGGGGCAGAATTACTGGTTTTTGTATGCAGTGACCACTTGTTAACTGATCCTGACTGTCACTGATATACCTGGGATTGCACAAAGGATCTCTGGGACACACTCTGCTGCTCATGAAACTCTGAGTGCGTTGAGTCTGGGACAGAAGAACATAGTTACCCATTCCATTCCTGTATTCTCAGCTTCTAAATGGATATTTATCTTGAGATTATTTTTACCTATGCTAACAGTTTACTGAATTAATTTCAGATAATGAGAAGACTCTCTTCCCATTATAATGAATTTTGTAAATACACCATAACATTTTTTTTTCCCTAACTGTTTAATGAAGTATTGAATAAATTTATTGCATAAGATGTTTTGCAACACTCATACAGCTGTGGAGTAGCATTTTTTGAGCACCAGGAAGAAACTTCTTCCAGATGAAAGAACTGAAGTGCAATTATGAGCTAAAAGTGTCGGTCTTGCTCTGCAACATGTATCTCCTCTATGTTCGGCAGCAGGTTACCGTAAAACCAAAACCACTCCCAGCAGTTCAGTGGAACTAACACCTCTATCAAAATTCTTAGAAACCTTTGCAGAGAAGCCACTCCAGAGTTACGAATCATATACACATAGGCATTTTTTCCCTGGCTATGGGAGAGCAAACTGGATTTTATTCTATAAAGGGAGAAATATTTCTTTCAACAGAAGAAGCCAAATAAATGTGTAAATTTCTCCCCTAATATCAATACTGTTCTCAAGCTTTTCTTGTCTAACTTACTTTAAACAAAGCTTCCATCACCATACAGTAGCCTTTTGCTTCCAAGATGCTACCTACCTATTCGTTTGCTATCAAATTCCCCTAACTACACAGAACATGACATAGCACAGCTATTTACTTGTTAATAACGTTTACTTATTAGATAAAAATTGTCCAAAGAAATTTGGCTTCAATTTTGCCATAAACAAATCACATCTTATTTTACTGATTTTGCTAAAATCTGCCATTTTAGGTAAACACACATTCCTATTTGTGACACTGTAAAAGAAACTACTAACCTGCTTCAGAGGACTGAATAGGAACTTGAAACTGGTAACTTGATGAATACAAGGAACAAAATACCTGAATCAGACATCCTGAGGATGATGGAAATACTGATTTCCTGATGTCTCTGGTTGTCCTGTCTTCACACTGACTCGCCAATGGAGACGGAGAAAGAGTTCAACTCTCCTGCCCATGCTAATCTGTCTTTCATCTCTAATCGTAGCTAAGAGATTTATTTCAGGGTTCTTATGCCACCAGGTTAAATCCTGCAAAACAGGCCAATTAACTGAGTGTGGACTGAGATCTCATCAACAAAATGTTTTATAGGAAATTCTTTTACCTTTTTACCCCTCCGGAGGTTTGCTCTAGTCAGTGACAGAGACTGTTCTTCAGTACCTGTTAATGTCTTCAATAGTTCTTAGCTTGTTCTTAACAATAAATATGCCTTCAAAAGAGAGAAAATTAGAATGATGAAACTTTGTGATTCTGTGGGAAGGGAAAATCTATCTTAGGGAATCATCATTTACATTCAGTATTAAATGCCTTACCCATCATTCCATATTTTGTTGCTTTGGATGGAATTGTCCATCCTCTTGTGTATTGAACGCAACTGTGTGCAGAAAGGAATTCAAGTAACCAAGAGCAATTGGATCATCCTGCATGACTCACAGCAGATTCTGGTTTGGGAAGCTTTCCAGGTTCAAGAACAATCTAGTAGAAACCTCTGTTCCTAGACTCTTATCTAGCTCTATTCCAAGCCAGAATCAAATGCAAAAGCATTTCTGAGCCCAGCACATAGGAATTTATGGGATGGACATGGCTGGGTTGAACTGGCAACGGTAGTGGCAACAAGCCGAGTCTGCAGCAATGCTTGATCAAGTTAGTGGTGATGTCAGTCCCAGAATTGAATCACTAAGCAGGACCAGGTTTGGTCCATAGGGTCCATAACACATTGGCACAGCAGAGGGAGTTCAGTGAGCACGACTGAACTCCCTGTTCAGTGAGCAAGGGACCCTGCACCAAGCATTGTAGTATTTATGAATATTCTCAGAAGCATAAACTGTCATCTCCCAGCTAACAATAAGCAGTAAAACAATACCCTGATAATACTGTAATTCTAACTCTGTATTCTGGGAATACACCTGCTCACCTCATTTAGGGTCTCATGTAAAGGTAGACACCCCTCTGCAGGCAGCAGTATTATCACACTTACTACTGGGGAAAGGTGAAAGATCAGCTATCAGTGCCACTCACTCTATCAAAGTCCGGTGTAAAGCAGAGACTGGAGCATCTAGCTACAATATTCTAAAAATTAAAAACAATTAAATCTTGTTCATTTGGCAGAAGACATTTTATATATCACTGCATGGAAGAAGGAGGCTCATAATTGTCAGCAACATTCTGTTGTGTCCACGTGGTGAAAATCCCCAAGGACATATTCCAACAGGATAAAGTCATACAGTGAAATTGTCTCCCTTTTCAGTTTTTCTGAGACAATCAAACTCATATCTAATGTTTGCTACAAGCTCCATCCAACAATGCATTGTCCAGTACTGCATGGCAAACATACAGACCTGCTTCCTTGATGTGGGGAAGAAGTCCCTGGAGCCATAAAGGCTCAGTGTGCCTTTTGCTGGCAACTTTGGTTCAGAAAAATGTAATTTACCATAACTTCACCTTTTAAAAGAAAATATTTGAAATAGGACTTCCAGCTTTCTAACTTGCTTATGTGCTATTGATTCAGAGCACATGTGATATATCTGGGACCTGTTGGATCTACTGCAGTTGGACCACACAAATGCTTGTATACAATCAAATATACCCCAACCGCATTGAATTATTCCTCCGCACATGAATCATTCATGCTTTGGACTTGCTGTACTCGTGCAAACCCCAGGGGAATATGTTAGATCTGTTCAAAAGTGTACATTTATGTACAGATAACTCTACAGAAGCATATTTAACAGGTATAATGTATTCCTTGTGTACAGCACAAGTACAGAAGTGTACACATTTTGAGCTACTGTTCTGGCTGGGATGTGATATTTTAGAAATCCTGGACAAATGACTGAAGTTCTTTTCTATGTTCAGAAAAAGTTCACTTGTGAAAACTGCCCGCATCTATGGAACTGCAGACGTATGTTGTCCCTAAGTATTAGAAAATGTTATTGCCTTAATTACCTACTAGCAGAAAAATCCACCTTCCCTGTGGTTGCTTTGCAATACAAATCGAGTATTTGCATGCATGAAAGCAAGCAAGCAGGAGATGGCACTGCTGCTTTATGTAGGTTTTTTCTACAATACAGAGTAAGAAGCTTTTTTTTTAATTTGTGTTAAAGAGATTAGAGGTCATTCACAGAGCTAATGGAAGCTCAAGAATGCCTCATTTTAAGAAATTACCTAAATCCAATCTTAATGCAACTAGAGGTCAATGCTGCCTTTATATTTTGTTCCATCTCATATTGGAAAATGGTTTCAGATGCAAAGTTAATATCAAAAGGTGAATTATTCAGAAATTAGTTCTGTTTTATGGCAGTCTATAATTAACCATAATGCATTTTCTTACAGACATGCTGAGAAGCCTGGGCACCAAGACCACAGAGTAGCATTTCATAACTGCAGGAGTGGCTGTACATGTGGGGCTGACATCTATCACTGAGCGGTATAGAAAGAAATCACACGCTTTCCTGCTCGCAGTGGAGACTGCTGTGCTGTGGCTTTGGATCTGAAAGAGGTAAATCTAATACATGTTTGGCCAATTACTTATCTATTTAGTACCATTCATAAAGTCCACAAGCAAGAACAGACGTGTTGCAAATTAATGTGATGAAATAACTAGTTGGGATAACGCATGCAGCAAAGTTTAATTTTACATCTAGTTTCCAAAAATTAATTTTTTTAAAATATTTGGATGGATTTTAATTTCATTATGTATTTAATGTAAATGATAAGTAATGATACGAGATTTTGGAGTACTGGACTAAAGCTGGAGGCACTCAGTGAGCCTGATGCAAGCAGGTACTATACAGCCTTTCTTTAACATGTCAGTGCTTCAGAGGACAAGTCCATATTCAGAAATAGATTCCCATGATATGTGTTAATGGGGAGGGAGCATGAACAAGGGTATTCAGACCATCTGCTTTTTTCAGCTTCTGTAAAGTTGTGAACCACATGGTAAATACTGAGAGACAAGTTATTAAGCAAATAGAAACAACTGGGTCTTTGCAGAACATTAATTTCTCAATGACATTTCTGAACTTTTAGGGAAGGAACTATAGAGGTATTTAGATTATTGTGGTTGTTTTAGTTAGATAGAGATACCTATGTTAAGTCAGAACATTTGAAATTCTTATGGAATTGCAGAGTTGACAGAGGGAATGTCAAAACTCAAAGGCAAGAAGTAATGGCAATAGACAATAATTTAAAAGAACCCAGTTTGCACATAAAAATGTACATTAAAATGACACAAAGCTTATTGAAAACTAAATCAGTTATATGTTTTTACAACTACAGCTATACACTGTATTACAGTGCTGTACTATGTTCCATGAAAAATACAAATACTGTAACTCTAGCTCATTTAATTGCCTGGGGAACATCACAGATTAAACAAATCAGAAAAAGAAGTACTACAATTTTCATTTTTCAGATGTTTAAAGGTTATAACAACATGAATGCTGAAGCCAGTCTCAGGCAAAAAGGAAATTTTAGCAGACCTGCATGAACTGCACTGCACATGTATGGCTAGTCTTTCGGGCTACTGTGTATTGCAGGAAACTCCATGTTGGTACCTGTCAAGCTGGCTCTGATTTCAATCCATAGAAGCTGTACTGTCCACAACCTCTGAGTCATCCACTCCTGACTCATGGTGAGTCATTACAAATGCAAAACTAAGGCACAGAAATTCACCTTAAAATCAGACCAGCAGTCTATAGTAAAGCTGGAAGTAAACCTGTATTTTAAATTGGTTGGTAACCTAAAACTTCCATCTTGGCTGTAACTTTTTTCCAAAGACTAGAATGCATTTTTACAACCTTATTCATAATAAGACCATGCAGCAATCTTCCTTTTCACCCTTGTACCTTATTCAATATGAATCTTACCCTTACAAGCCAGTTATCAGGAAGCTTTTTGCAGAATGGAATTATACACATATTATGAGGACTGGCAACAGAATTCCCCTTACATAATGAGCTAAAATTTCCTTTTTTGATTCCGTATCTCATAGCATCAATACTTAGGTGCACTATACTACCAGTTGACCCTTCTTCCCCTAGCAAAGTAGTCAGATATACACTGTCACATTTCTCATCAAAGAGACCTCCTATACTAATCAGGAACTCTCCGCATTCTCAGCTATTATAAACCTGATGTTAATGCTGTTTTTCATTCTCTAGAACATAATTTAAACTGAACAATATTACTCAGGACATCTTGTAGGGAATTTGAGATTCTTTTAGAAAGAAAAGAGAGTTACCAAGATAAAAAAAAGAAAGACTCACAGAGCTCCTGAAGCTCTCAAATTGACAAAAGCCATCACCTAGACACAGTGCTCTTAGAGCTCTTCTAAAAAGATCCAAGATCCCTCTGTCCCTTCAGTGGTGACTTCATGCTTATTGACATTGTGTCTAGAAATCATGATTTGTGAAAAAAAAAAGACTGAAGGAACTCAGTTCCTTAGCACAGAGAAGACTGATGTTGAGAGGTGAAAATAGTGTTCAAGTAATTTTAAAGGTGGTTGCACAGAGGAAGGGAGTAAATTCCTTTGGTGATAGGATATGAGGAGAATAGAGACCCCTGGTGGCCTAGTGGTTAGCGTGCAGGACTTTCACTGCTGCGACCGCGGGTTCGAGTCCCCGGTCTCCTGGCCTGATGGAGGTCGTTAGCCCTGTGTGGCCATCCATCTAAGAGAAGGTCACTCTAAACAAACCTACGTCCTGAGGACCTCACTGCCATTGTCCAAGCTTGCTTGGCCCCGGCAGATGAACCTTAGGATTAAAGGGTGGGCTCAGTTCAGCGCAGGCTGTGTCTCACCTAAAAAATCCATTGCGCAGGCTGGAAAGGTAAAAAGACCTTTCCCCAAATCTTCGTTCGCGAAGATGGGCCATTATTATGAGGAGAATAACAGGTGAAATAATTCTTTTAGTGAGAATAGCAAAAGAGCCCATGATTTTTGTTGATTTCCATAAACAAAACAACTTTTATAACAGGTTCACAAACACTGGCCAGGAATGTTGTGGGGACAGTTGGTCCTTCCTTGGAAAAAGGGCTGAACTAGATGTGTCAAGGTCTATGATTTTTCATTTGCTATGAACTGGATAACTGTTTAAACATCCACAAAACTTGGTAAGTGCTTTCTTGTCTTTAATCAATACTTCCTTTGCTCATTGACTTTTGCCAGAAATGTGTTTACTTTTCTACTCTTCAGTGAGAACAGTTTCCACCTCCATTTATATATTAATTTTTAATTACAATTTTCAACAAATTCTAGAATTTGGTGGATGTTCATTTACTGACTAACCATCTCTATGAAATCTGTGCTTCCTGCTATCCTCCTTTTATTTTTTTATTTCTTTTTCTGTCTTCTCTGTCCTGACAATAATTTGATTTCTGACTCTCTAAAAAATTTTATGAGCTTTGTCTTCCACTTCTTTGGTCAACTAAGCAGAAATATTATTCAGAACTTCTGACTCATACAGAAATAAATAAACAACCCCAAGGCCCCGAAGTCCAGGCAAGGAAGTTCCAATGGAAGTGCTTGAAATCAATAAGTCTGTACTTTGCAGGACGAGTCACCTACTCCCATACATGTTTATTTGAAGAAAATAACTGTAGAGTTCAAGTGGTCTTGCATGTTTTTAATCGTCACCCTTCTCCATCAGCAGCCATGTGCATACATTTGTGTCAAGGTGTGGGGTTTAATTTTTAAAGATTTCTTGAAGAAACATTAGGTCATTTCTTTCAGACAAAAACCACTGATGAAAATTCTCACATCTCCCTCACCCCACAAGAAAGAAGATTTCCAGGAAAGCAAACTTATTTTTCCATCGCTATCCCTTATGAAACGTAAGGAAGGAGAACTTGGAAGCAGTAGAAAATTGTGTTCCATTTACAGATAATCCTGGAAATTCTGATCTAATTCTTCAAACAAGAAAGATATTAGAAGCTTGTATGTGGGTATATTCTCATTCTTTGATCTTTTTTAAAATAAAAAATCATAAAAGCTAGAGCTATCTCTAGTTGTGTCCAGAAATAGCTTGCTGTCACTTTGGTCTTTATAGGCTTGTTTCTATATTTTTTTAAATTCAGACCAGTTCTATTTATTGCCTCAATACGTGATTTAATACTTACTATATTTAATCTTAATAAATTATGCATAATATTTAAAATTATAAATTATTATTATTAAATATTGAAGCTATATTAAACATGTAAGAACATCTTTAGAGGACTGGGGATTATTTTGCATACAGTCAAACTTCCCAGCAAGTCATATTCCCATGCATATGCCATGCACATACCAGCACATTAAATTTTTTTGTTCACATCTTTCCATAGCAACTACATGGTTATAATAAAGTTTGGTCACGTAAGCCTTTGGAATTTGGAGTAATTTCTCACAGTAATCCCCCTGCTCTCTAACTTCAGAGTTCTGGTGTGCAGTACCTTTCTTCTCCTTGCAGTTTACAGCCAAGTTAGACATTTAGTTTTGAACTAAGACAAGACAGTTTGTGTTGTGGTTTAACCCCAGCTGGCAACTAAGTTCCACCCACGCAGCTGCTCACTCACTCCCCCACCTCTGCCTCAGTAAGGAAAAAAGTGGAAAGAAAAGGTAAACCCCATGGGTTGAGATAGGAACAATTTAATAATTGAAACAGAATATAAAAGATAGTAATAATTTGACACTACTACTAATTGTAATGAAACGGAGAGAGAGAGAAACAAAGTGCAAGGCAAAAAAGTGATCCTCACCACTCGCTGATCGATATCCAGCCTGTCCCCCTGCAGCCACTGGAACCTCATGGCCAACTCCTTCCCCATTTGTATACTGGGCATGATGTCCTATGGTATGGAATATCCCTTTGGACAGTTTGGGTCAGCTGTCCTGGCCATGTTCCCCTCCAGCTTTTTGTGCACCTCCTCACTGGCAGAGCACTGGAAACAGAAACATCCCTGATTTAGAGTAAGAACAACTTAAAAACAACTAAAACCTCAGTGTGTTGTCAACATTATTCTCATATTAAATCCAAAATACAGCACTGTACCAGCTAATAAAAAGAAAATTAACTCTATCCTGGCTGAAACCAGGACAGTTTGCTTTACTGATTTACTTTGCACCACCTGAGATACTTAAAAATCTCCAGAACAAACACAGAGGTGCCCATTTGCAGTGGTTTACAGATGCTGATTAAAAGCTGCAAAAAGAGACACATTTTTACATTGAGACAGTCAATTAGCACTAACAATGCACAAGCTGAATAAAGGGCATAGGACAGGGTAACTTTAGCTCAGGGTAACTTCTTCCAAGGCAAATCAACACAATGCATCTAAGCTTAACTACATGTACTACAAAAAAAAACAAACCAAAAAACCCTAGAGTACCTCGATTTCATATTTCCATAGAAATTTTAATGTGCTGGTGGTTTTTTGGAGTCGGTTGGTTAGGGTTTTTTTGGTGTGTGCTGAAGATATTCTGCAAGTTTGCACTGACAGAGGAAATGCTGGTATCTGTTATATTTACCATCATCTCTGAACCAAAAATAGTAGAACAGAAAGCCTTGACACTCTTGGTGTATTTCTGGAGCAGTGAGTTAAAAAAGATTAGATCTTTTCTCTGAAGACCTCCTTCACATAAGTGGAAACAGATTTTCCTTTTGAAAAGGCTCAGTCTTAGTTTAATTTTTTCCCTGCTTGACTTTCATTTGAACCATTCAGGTTTTGTCTAGTTATGAAAAGTGCATGGTAATTTGGGAACTAACAGATCACTATAACTAACTGATGATGAAGGGAAAGGCTATTTGCCGTGTGCATGCTGACTTACAGTATGCTAAGAAGACGTACTGATGCGATTTCCATGATAATGTGCATGTCAATGTGATTGTATTAGATAATGATTTAACTTGTGAAGTTCCAAAGGTATCAGAGAAACTATGCCCCTTGGATCTGCAATGATAAACAGGTAAACAGACAAACCAGGTAAACAAGTTTGTTAAGGCCTTCCATTCTCTTTAATTAAATCAGAAAATTTTCCTGAAGAATTGTACACCTCAGGCAACATGTCAATTATTGGGAGAACAATAAAGTACTCTTCCCAAATGGATTCATATTCATGACCCCCTTGTTACATCTACCACATTACATCTAAGAGCTGGTTAGGGCATTCATCTACCCTCAATTATAATCTGGGAGGAAAAGTACTGCCTACTTTGGAGTGAATGTGAAAAAATTATTTGTTTGGTCCATAAGAAGAACAAGTATGAGGAGCGGGCTATCCTAGAATAACTGTCACCTTTGCAAGGCATTTAAGACAGATTTGGAAAAAATATGTAGCTCCGGGAGAATATTTTCCAACTGAGAAATTGTAAGTGCCTTTCAAAGGTAAGCAGAACTCATAACTACATTTTGTAATTGAATAAAAGATGTATTGAAAAAAAACCAAACCAAACCAAAAAACAACTCTCTCCATCTATTGCCACTAACACTGGTTTGTTTCCGTTCAGTGAATGGAAACATTATATCAGCTTTCTTACTAACCACTTCAGTTGTTAGGATGCATTATACAATGTGCATTCACCATATCTAGAGAAATACATGCTTATCACCAGTGCTTATCCACACCACCACGACTGGTGACCCACTGCTCGAGGCAGTTCACTTTGTGAATGAAGAAGCATCTGGCTGAAGGTGGCACTGAGCAAGTCCCAACTGCCTGGGGACTTGCTAGGTTTGGTTAGGTTTGGTTCACAGCTCCCACTTCTGGGTAGCTCATTTGTAAACTACAAGTACTCAGATCTTCCTATTCCTAAAGCAGCAGTAGGAGATGCCGTTTTCTAACCTCGCTCTTTAACTATGATCTCCTTGTGATGAAGAAAGGGCTTAAAATATTCACACTATCATCTTATCTGGCTGAGAGTAAGGCAATAAAAAGCACTTTTTTTTTTTCCCTTAAGGAAACCTCACATGAGGGGAAGACTACCGTGTGTTCACTCACTTCATACAAGCTGCTGTGACCACAGCCAATCTGTCCTTCCCCTTTCCCACAGAACAGGCCCCTCCTGGCTGCTGGTCTGCCAGATGGATGCAGGCTCTGGGGTGACACTGTGGCCCTGCAATCGCATCCTGTCGGCTGTTTTGCGATGAGGGCACGATGGCATCCACTGAGGAACGCCTGCTCCATGTCTTCACGGGGCTGCAGAGTCCTGCCTGCAGCGAGCAGTCACCTGCGAGAACGGGAAGCCTTCCCTTCCAAGGCCGTACTCACTCAGGCATGGGACACATCCAGCGTTTCCCACTGTCACCGCTCAGAGCCCAGGGGTGACAGCTGCGCTGTGCCCCCGGGGCAGCGCTGGCCCCCGCAGGGCACAGAAGGCCCTGAGGCGACCTTCCCGCCTCCCCCTCCCAAGCCTCTCCCTCCTCAGCCCTTCTCGTCCCATCGGAGGCCAGGCAGGGCCTGTGCCCGTCAGGCCTCGGGCAGCCCGCCCAGGTGCGGACAGCACAGCCAGCCCCGGCCGCCGAGGCCGAGGCGGCACCGTCAGGAGGACGCAGCTTCCCCCCGGGAGCAGCCATGCGGCGGCGAGGGCCCTGCGCCGGCCCCAGCGTCCAGCACGGGCGCTGACCCTTGCAACCTCGTCGGGAGCGAGAACTCCAGCGCCCCTCCCGCCCCTCGGTCCCGGGGCTGCGCGGGGGCAGCCGCGGCGGTAGCGGCGCTGGTCGGCTCAACCAACCCCGCACCGCACAGCGCCGCGTCCAGGGGCGGCCGCCCTCGGCGCCCGGATTGACCGCGCCCAGAGCCAATCGCCCGTGAGGAATCTCGGCGGTTGCCCAATCACCGTTCCGGAAAGGGGGATGTGGGCGGTGCCCCGGAGGACAGCGGGCTCGGTAGCGCCGCGGCCAAGGAAGGGCGAGCGCGGGGGCGGTGGCGCGGGTGAGCGCGGCCGGGCTCCGGCCGGCAGTGCCGCAGGGATGGCGGCGGCCGCGGGGAGGGGCCCAACCCCCCTGCGGAGCGCTGCTAGCCGCCCCGTGACCCGCTGAGCGCCCTCCGCCTGCGCGCAGCCGTTACCCCTCCCCGCGGGCCGGCCCGGCTCTGCAGTCGCCATAGAGACCGCGCCGCACGCCATGGGGCGGAGGCTGGGCCGGGGGGCGCCGCTTTAGCCCCCGCCCCGTGCCGCGCGCACCATCCCCGCGGGGCCGGGGGCGCCGCAGGGACGCGCTGCACCGCCCTGAGGAGCCGCCGCCTCGGCCCCGTTCCAGGTGAGGACATGCGGGGCTGCGCCGCGGCCACCGCCGTCACTCCGCGCCCTGTCCCCGAGGGCGCTCCGGCCGCCTCGGCGGGGCGCGGCCCGCGGGCTCCGGCCCGGCCCCGGCGGCTGCTGCGTGGGAGCCGCGCCGCGGTTCCTCTCCCCTCGTGAGAGGGAGTTTGCCGGGCGCTGGAGCTTCGAGGCCACGGCTCGCCCGAGAGGGGGTTATTCCAGCGGGGGCAGCACGGGGCGATCCGGTCCTTGGAGTTAAGGTGGGCAGGTCTGGCGGGCTCCAGCAGCAGTCACCCACCGCTACCCCGGCCTCCACGGAAAACTCAAATTTATAGGCACGAGATTTTTTTTTTTTTGTCCCCCCCCACTTGCTGCAAGAAGGCAAACGGTACAGATATTTACGTGTTCTGACGGCGAAACATCCCTGTTTTAAAATAGCTGCGTCTATATTTCCAGCTCTGGGCTGTGGCATGCGTGTGACGGATGCTGTGTGGGCACGGCTGGATCGGGAAGCGGGCTGTCTGTCGCCTGGCGCTCCAAGTGCTGGAGCCATTAGCGGCAGTTGCATCGATCTGTGCATACAGATATGCCCGGCTAGGCCGCGGGTGCTCGCACCACGGCGGTAACAAGGAGCATATAAACTGCGTATGGAACGGATTTAAAAATACGTTGTTATACGTACTTTTAACTCTACGAGAAGGAAAAGGGAAAATACCTTGTTCTCGAGTCTACAGATGATCTTTGGAGCTGCAGCTGTATCCTTGTGCGTCTGTTGTCACTCTAGGGCAAAAGCAATGGAAGGACAAAGATCGGTACGAGGTTTCCAAAACCTCTGGTGTGAGCCAGAGCAGTTGGGAACAACTGCTAGTGTGAGTGGGGATGCATTTGCAAATAATAATAATAATATATTGTCATGGGGGTGGAGGGAAATGGACACAAAGGAATGACCCCAGACTATAGCACAGCCTTTTGAGAACCTTCTACTGTATTTATAATTAAGCTGGAAAGGAGTATAGAAGATGAGTTATAAAATAGGTTATAATGGCTTTCTTAGACTGTATGTGCAGAACTAGTTGAATTTCAGCTTAAATGTTCTGAATTAGTAAGCTATATTGCAGGAAGGTTGAAAGCCCTAAAATAAAACATACTCTATTTATTTAAGTATCATGTTAGGCTTAGAGCATGTGACTAGTTTCCCTGTTGTGGTTCTGGAAAAATGAGTAAATTTTTTTTTATATTCTGCATAGTTAATGCCATGCCTCTGTTGAACACACGGTATGCTTGCAGGTACGTTACTTCCTTTCAGCTGTTGTATCTAAGAAAACAATAGATTAGAGCTTTTTTAGCTGCTCTTGTTTGATTTTGAAAATGTTTTTTGAGGTTTTAATGATGTGAACTCACGGTACAAAGATATCCACGATTTCTATTCTGTATTAAATTGCCCAGAATACTTTATTGATGATTATTCATTTGCTTTGCAGTGTGAAGTATGCTTAAAAAAGTAGTAAAACTTTCTTAACTTGTTAAACCAGAAGTATGCTTATTTACATTTGACCTGTCAAAGAAATTATATATAGGAAAGTTTGACTGCAGTAGTATATGTTGTCTTCAGTCAAAAGTTGTTTTGAAAATAGTGCATCAGAATATCGTAGTTTAAAAAATGTGAAGATGGAACCAATTATCTCTGACAAATGCTTTGTTCTTCTCTGATATATTTCTGGTGTACCATTATGCACTTGAAGTTAAGCATCTTTTTAAACTTCCTATTTGGAAAGGATGGGGCTAGAATGAGAAGAAGAAATTGAGCGACTGGAATATTGTGATGTTGCTTTGGTTTTAGTGTAGTCACTGTACTGCTGTCACATACTGCAGGCTCTGATTTCTCTAACATCACAAATTCCAGAGAGGGTTCTTCAGTGTGGCTGATTATATCAAGAAGATTTTTGAGTATGACAGAAGAGAGATATGAGTGGAGTTTTCCTTGTTCAAAACTGGCTTCTAAATGGTCAGTTTCTACCAGTATTAGATATACATGTACAAAAGGTTAAGCATTTGCTTAGCTATGAAGTTGCATTCTATGGCATATTAATATACTCCTGTGTTTTCTGTGTTAGTTAAGGCTTGTTTATCTAGTGAGAATGAATTGATACTCTACAAAGGAGATTGACAGTTTCTGCGTATTCCTATCTGTTGCCTTGTCTCTTTCCTTTTCTCTGGGAAAGCACTACACAAAGCTTTTGTGTTTGGCTAGAGGGGAGGAGAAACAGCTGCCTTTTCAGTACAAGACACCAGGATTCGTCATGGTCTCACAGGGATGCGTTGTTGTGTGTGGACCAGCCACTGTCCTTCCTCCCTTGTTCCTCCCTTCCTCCCTCTCTGTTAAAAACTCTGTCCTCATGACACAGAAACCTGAGCTTCCTTTGATTGATCTCACAGAGCAGTGTGTTGTGCCATGGACTTAGCAGATCAGTCGGATGGGCCAATTGTTAAAGTATAGGTGGACAGGAATTAAAATGCAAAATTGACCAAGTGCAAGGTGTACATTAAGGAGTCCAAGATCTACAGATCGTGTTATGTTTAAAAATTGCTTGTTATCAACTTGACTTCTTGTCCATGATTGGGATGAAAGAAACTTGTTTGAATGGTTAATATTTTACTTAGTTTTCTTTTGTTTAGCAGTTTAGTATCTAGGATACTTAAATGGGAATTAAACATATTAATTTCTAGAAGAGGAAATACAAACTTTCAGTTGAATGACAGAGTACAACTAAATGGGGCAGTTTCATTTTTCTACTTTCCATGCACTAGTAGGGTGCTTTAATTGTTGTACTGTATTCTGTGTCACTCAGTGGTAGAATAAAATTTAACTTCCCTGTCTTTTTTGGAAACATTGATTACTATATAATGAGGCTTTAGTAACTATATATGTTCTTTCAAAATAACTTATTTGAAAATATCATCCAATTTTTTACTTATCCTTTACAACTTTATTGTATTTATTAAAATTTTAGAGTTAGAGTATTCCCCTTCAGTGCTACATGTTAAGTAGTGTGCTTTTGAGGGAATTTAGTAACTCTGATTTTTTTCTGAGCTGCTTATGAAATTGAGGTGGCATTCTTAGCAGTTTAAATTTATAGTCCGTCTTTCTCTGTATTAGCTTATAGGTCACTAATTTTGAAACCCACATAGTGGAAAATTCAAACGATAAAATCTGGCCTTTTGACACTTCACCTCTTGATCTGGTTGAGAATCTTTTTCCATTTTTGACATGTTGTGCAAATCATATCTTTTGATAATTTGTTGTTCAAACTTATTTGTCAATTAATGGAGACAAATTTTGAAAACCTTGAGGAATTTTTTGAGGGAGAAGGGAAAGATTTAATTTGAGAGGAGTGAGGAAAGGAAGGCAAACTCGGAAAATGAAGGAGTCTAGTGTTTTTAACAAAACTGGTTAAAAATTTTAAAATGTGTTCATTGTTGTGTTCAGGCATGTTTTTCTGTGGTTCTTGTACTGCATGGTTGGGAACAATTCTGTGATGAAAAGCATCACTCAAAGGCTATTTCATGCTGTTACTTTGTCTCTGAAGAGATTAATCAGTTATTGAGAATTAGGTTATTTGCACTGATGGGGAACTCTCTCCTGTAATTATTCCTTTTGAAGAAACGTGTGTATGTTGCTTAGCCTTGCATTTCAGTGCAGGAGAAGCGTCTGAGTAGTTGGAAGAGTTGAAGGCCTCCTTTATGGATGGGTTTTCATGGATGAAGTTTGCCAGCTTACTGATGGTATTGATCAGGAGAGTATTTTTTTTCCAATACAGATCTGTCCGATGTATAAAGGAAGGGTAAAATGGG